GTCTTTTCTGGACCCGCACTTGAGGCAGGTACAGATGGTCTTGTTTTAACCGCAGGAGAGAATGGTAGACTCTGTGGGTAAGTTGCCTGATTAAACACAATGTAGAAGTGTATGACGCAGACAATGGCAACGTGCTTGCGCTGCTGGCTTTCGCTGCTCTTGCCTTGCGCGCTTGGCTCATCTTGGCTGGGGGCCTTTCAGAGCACGTCGCTCTACACAGTGGTGGGCTCAAGTCCAGAAGGTTTTGCGCGACCTGTACAAGAAGAAGTGGCTGGTGTGCAAAAGTCTTTCAGCAAACAAGCGTAGACACTGTGACTGCGAACGGGGCGCGCTTCGGTGGAGGCGCACTTGCTATTGGAAGGCCCGACCCAACAACATGAAGATCCACCCCAGCTTCAACTACAGGGACCACGGAGACAACCCCTGGAACAAGCAAGGCTGAGCGCCGACGAAGTGCTTCAGCAGGTGTGGCTAGATGCCAGCTTGGCTTTTGATGCATGCCGTGTACAAAGTGCTGCCGACATTGGTGGTGGCCTTCGCTTTGTGAAAAGGCAGCCACCATGTCAGAACGAGTGCATGGTTGTCTGGACTAATGACTCTAGGCTGTCAATGCGTGCAGCTGACCGCATCTTGGTTTCGTTGCTTAGGTCATCGAGACCACATGGTCCGGGCAACAGTCCGCACCATCACCTTGCAGGCTGTATCATGAGCGAGGTTCAACGTTAAGTAACAGCCCTGGGAGAGGTGTACAAGATCGAAGACCCACCCATGCGTCGGTTTGTCCTTCGACATGCCGCGGAGCATTTGCCCTAAAATTTGCGCATTGGTTGGCTTGCAATAGCATACAGCCATCGATGACGCACAGTGCTGAGGTCATATTTTAGCCAGCCGGCAACTCGGGAACCTGGGGCGGAAAGCAGCATGGATCTGTGCGCTTTTGCAGTTGCCACAAAGGCTTGCATATCACTTGCAAGACCTTTGGCCCCCAGCTCAGACGTGAAGCCTGTGGCAATTCATTTTGTTGGAGCGTGCCTCAAGGTTGCGCCTTGACACTGCAGCTGCAAAAGTGGTTGGCGAGGAGTTGCTGATTAAGTCTGATGTTGTTACCGGATTTCTTACTGGCTCGTGCTTAGGTAGCGCACAGGTGCAGGATAGTTTCGAATTTCATCTCCAAGTCATAGAATTGTGTTTTAGCTGGGCTGTAGTTCATTGGTGCTAGTTGGTGTTTATGAACAGGAAGGGGCCAGTTCAGAAAGGAAGAGGTACATTCCAGGAGGGAGCATAGGGAGCTCGTGATTACTCAATGTCCATGTATTCGGTATGCTCTGATGCTGCGACCGGTGACTATGTTCTATCCGAATGTTTGTTATTCCAAGCCCCCTGGGATCGTGAAGACCGGGACATTCGCGGGGTTGGGGTCTGGCCCCAGCAGGGCCCCAGGGTCCTGCATACCCCATAGAAGAAGAAGACTTGGCTTGAATGCATTTCATGCCAACATCCTCCCAATACAGAAGGGAGAGGCTTCACGAATTGGGGTGTGCATGCGCATGGGGGAACCTTTCCCCATCACCAACACAAAGACAAAGAGGATTGCGACCAGACATCAAGAAGGTGGCCCGTAAGCAGAGCAAATGGCAGGGATCTTGATCCGCCAGGCCTTAGGGCAACTCCTTGTAAGCAAAGCAAGGCAAAGTAAAGCAAAGACCTTGCTCGCCTTGGTCTGGCCGGCATGTCACGGCGTGGCCCATGGCTGAGCGGTTCAGCGTTGGCCGAACCCGTATGTGTGCTGAGCCATGGCAATGCAGCAAACAGCAGTTGTACCGTCATGTGACTGCAGGAGCATGGGCCGACATCCAAAGAGCAAAACTCATACATGTCATATCTGTGCCCTGACAGCAAAGCAAGCTATACAGTCATTGTTTTGCAGGTAGATTTTTATCCGCAGAACGAAGCCTTTCTGATGAGTGCTGAACGAGAGCAGAACGTGGGGGCCGCCTGACTGCGAATCGCGTGACACTTGATTGATGCAAGAATCATGCGAGTGAGCGTGGAACAAGCCATCACGGTGGTGAATTGGGCCTTGCAGCGCTGTGGATAAAGGCATCGGATGGCTGCAAGTATGTTGTACTTGTTGCACATGCCTTCTGTGGCAACCACAAGCCGTATGGAAGCTGCCGTGCAAACGTTGCAGGAACCGGCGGCGGTGTTGAACAAATTTTGTTGTACATGCGACGGCTTGGATGCGTTGCTGGGGCAAAGGACGAAAAGAGATCCGGAGGCAAACATGAGCCGCATGGCGAGCCTGACGTGCTGAATGCCCGTCACCTGGGACCAAGGGCAGCGGGCGTGTGACAAAACATGTTGTGGAGAGAATGACGAGAGGGCGGCAAGGCCAGGGCCGGTTCCAGACGCCTGTAGAATTTGCCTCCAACAGCAGTAGCATGGACCAGGGGAGGTAGCTTTGCTGCCGGCAATTCATAAACCTTGCAAAGCAGGAGAACCTCTCCGCTGTGCAGCGCGAGAACGAACTGCAGCAGGACCTTGTGTCACAGCCTGGCGCTCCCTTGGAATGCTCCAGAAGCTGTAGGACCTGCAAATCTATTTGTCTGACGTGTTTGAGTTGGGCATAGAAGCGCTCAACGAGGTGTGCAAAGATGTTTCCTTGCGCCTGTTCAGGGGCCCTCATGTGCCAAGTGGTTTGTCAGGTTCTAGCGGATCGCCTACTCAATGCAGCAATCTTGCCCCGAGCTCGGTCTCTGCTTTGGGTCAGATTAAACTGGCAACCGAAGGCTCATGCTGAACGCAAACGCTGAAGAATGTTCAAAGAATTTTAGAATCCTGCTTTCTCTCAGGCCTGTTCTGCTGGCCGGACTGATCACGACGCCATCTCCGCAAACAAGCAGCACTGCCAGCAGCTCATCTTGCTTTTTGCCAGATGTTTGCTGCGGGCTGTACTCGTTGCGATAGATCACGTTTTTGGCCTACTTCCTGCGGTTTGGACCCTAAGAGGAGATGCATGGAAAGGTGGGTAGAACATGCAAGTTCCTGCCGGATCCTCGAAAGCGGTCTTGGCACCCAAAATCCAGTGTCCCAGATGACCTCGTAGGCTTGTGTGAAGCTTTCACGATCAGGGTGCCAACACTCAGCTTTCTCCTTGCTGGATGCTTCTTAAGACCACGAAAGCCTCCTGCCAGAGAATAGGGAAGACAGGAGAATGATTTCAGCAGACTCAGGCCATGTGTTGCCTGTAGATTTTGCCGTTGTGTTGCCTTTGCATTCTTGTGTCGAGAAGTGAGATTATGATCCGTTCCGCTTTGATAAGTATGCAAGAGCAAGGGGTGGGAATGCAAGGCGCGAACATTATCGCCCCACGTGTCGCTGTTTCTCATTCGGCAGGTGGGGCTTGCAAGCAAGAAGGGCAAACTTTGGACAGCAGAGCAGAGTTGTGCGCGGTGTGGCTTTGGACGAGGTTCTGGATACTTTCCACTGTCCAGTTCTTCTGGACCCCGTTTGTCACAGCTGCATTAGCGCGGTTTTGGTGTTTGTGCATCTGACACCTGTCAGGGTTAAAGTTGCGGCACGCGTTGGCCCACTCAATAGGGTGTGGGTCGAATATTTTTTCCCGGACAACCACGGTACAGAAAAGGACTGCCTCAGAGAAAACAATAACAAGCAAGCACTGGCATGTTCGAGACAATCTCGCTACATGTATGAGGCGGTTTGCAGGTTCAAAGAAGCATTAGCCAGGAGCCAATGATGCAAGCGCTCCTGTGGGCTTCGGTTCCAGCGGCCTTGGCATACGTGCCTCGGGTCACGTTGAGCAAGCATGATGGGCAGAAGAAATGATGCTCTTGCAGGCTAGTGGCAATGATTGCCCAGCCCGGTGAATGTCAGGTGCTGCCCGGCCAGACGACGAACACGAGCAACGGGGCCCGCGCGGGGTTGTCAGGTTGTCTGTTTTCAGCCTCTTATCAAACAACCTCTGTTTCCGCCATTGCTACGTTTGACAGGCCGACTATGTAAGGAACCCGTTGCAGGAGCCACCACCGCTTCTTGCATCTCATTGCAGCTGCATAGGGGATAGCAAAAGCATGCTGATGGGTCCCTCACCTTGGCTCAAGACCCTTCCCTAACTTGCTATTTCTGGCATCATGGTAAAGATTCTTGCGAATGGCGACATCGTTCCTGATGGAGACCCACGAGCACAGGCTTCCGTAACACAGCGGCGCCCGCCCGCAGCGAAAGCAACGCCCCCTGCCGCTGCCCCCAGCAACACTAGCAGTGCGGGTGGGTTTGTCGACAATGGGGAGAATGTCATTGTTGGCGACCTGGCAAGAGCAGTCGGCATCTACGGTAAGACCGTAAAGGTCATGGAACGAGACGTGCCTTTGATCTACATACTGGTTGCTGGAATACTGGCTCTGCTCTGGATCAGTGGCAACACTAATGCCATCCGGATGGCAGTCTTTGCGTTCATGCTCTATGTGATGTATACCCAATACACCAAGGCACAGCGAGGAGGATCAGCAGGGGGTCAGCCGCCAGATGACAACAGTAGTGGTGGCCACGTCATAAATCGCGGACGGCCCAGATAGGTCATTTGTGGATGCTTTTCGCAGCCGCAAAAAAGAGTGCATGTCATCTGATTGTGACCCTGAACTGAGTCGGATGTGCGCATGCTGCGTGGAGAAGTTTGCAATCGCAGGAGAATTTCATGGCAGCGCTGCAGTCCGCTGAGGCCTTGTGCATTAGTCACGAATTATGTCTCGCCTCAAGGTGCGTGCCGACCCATGCGGAGTCGTGAGCGTGTTAACCATGCTCAACCTTTCAAAGTCAGCGGTTGACGCATGCTACACTATGGCTCAAGCTGTTAGTGCCGTTTTAGACGTGCAGTAGCAATGACAGGCCCGACCTTACTGGTGATTCTTTCAAAATTCCCGTGCTATCCAGCCACTTGATTTGCAGGGTGGCAGTCAGCGGAGTACTCGAGGCCACGGCAAACAAAGAGACATGGCGGTAACTACTGCAAATTCAATTTGATGCGAGTTGTCTTGATTGTTGAATGACTCTCTGACCCTTTTCTGCTGAGGAAGTCGTGGCTTCCAGCATGCTGCTCTTCTCAGCAAGATGAAGGCGCCTTAATTCCAACTTGGTCCAAAGCAATGGAGTGTGCCCACCACAGGAGACGATCCCCGGATGGCTCTCCCGGCAAAAGTTTCAGCTCGGTTGCATGGGATGTCATGCTGTGCGTCGTGCCAGGACAGTGTGGCTCCCACACGGAGCAAGGAGGAGGGCTACATGAGCCCTGAAATGCTAAATGCGCTTGACTCAGCAGAGACAATAAACTGAAGGGCTGGTTTGGAGCCAATCTGCCTTCACGCCTCAGCTCGCCCAAAGGGATAATGAAGACAAGAGGCCATGGCCAGGCCCCTTGTAAATCAAGAACCCAGGAAGGTTGTATAAGGGTTATATTGGGGTATATATTGGGGCTATATTTGGATAATGGAAAATAAAATGGAAACTACAGGGATTATAGGTTGAAGCCTTGAAGCGTTTGAAGTTGTGTTTGGCAAATCCTTGGACTGTGCTGGACATCAACTGCAAGGTGAACCTGCTCTGAGCTGTGCAGCTTGTGGTGGTGCTTGAGGTGGGCAGTGGCTACGGCTACGACAGCTGGGATCAGGGCAATGCCAATGAATGGGTTGATGTGCAGTGCCTCAGCTAAAAGAAGCTCCCTAAACCCCATACATCCTTGTGTTATCCTATAGACTCCGTATATATCCTCTATAACCCCCTCTAAAGGTACTCTTTGAAGCCACCCTGTGTTGCCTCATCTCGTGTCCTTCGAGCGAGGCCAAAAGAGCCGGAAGCGGAAACATCCGTCCAAGCTCCAGAGTCTTTTTACTGGCCTTTGGGATAGCTAGGAAAGAAGGAATGGATCCTTATAGTGGTTAGTAGTCACTGTCCCTATCTAACCCATTATAGTAGTTTCATCCATTCCTTCCATTCCCAGCTATCCAAACCACTTGAAGATCTCCTCTACTCTGCTCCCTCCGCTTCTTTAGGTCTCTGTGGCAGCACCAGACAGTCCCGAGGTGCTTTGGCTGTGGGTTATAGACAGTGAAGGTTTGTACTAGGATGCTGGGTGAATATGGCTGCTCTTTGCAGGCTGGCAAGTGGAGCGTGGGTACAGGCGGATTTTTCTCCGCAGAATTGCTTTAGACAAGAGAGGCGGTCGTATATCCACTTCAGATGCTTGGCACTTGAGCGTGGGCAGGCAAAAGCGCCGTTCCTGCCAAGCAGCAGCAGCCTCATCGTAAAGTGGGCCATTGGGCCACACCAGAAGAATAGTACAAAATTATGCTGATATTTTGATCTCGTAACCTTCCACTCAGACCCATGGCGCCTCAAGCAGCAAAAGTAGCTGGCGGGGAGGCGCAAACGTCAGTGTCTCTAGTTTGACGTCCACAGTACTCCGCCACAGTTCCGCTTGCCAAACCAGGACTTTGAAACAACCACCGGCTTGAGCTTGATAAGTACCAAGCTGGAGCGTCAGCCCCTAAGTCTGATGAGTGATAAGAGCTACAGCTCTCCTGCGTCACAGTTGCTACTGGAGGCTGTATGCTCAAAGATCACGAGCTGCCCCTCGCAGATGTGCTTCAAGCCAAAGCCGGCCTCATGCAGCTACAGATGCTGAACAAAAAGGCTCATAACTTTTACCCCTGCGCAGGTTTGCGCAATCAGGGCAATGGCTGAAGCTACCGCAGCATACCGCTTTGAAAACGACGCTTGTTTGCCCTGTGCTGATGGAGTCCTCGAGTGAAGCCTGGACGTGACGCACTGTGACGACTCCGCAACCAAGGCGAAGCAGCTGAAGCACCTGCGTGATGCCTTGGCAGTTGAGCAGACACTAGGCATCTCTTGGAGCACCACATGCTGCTTTTGCAGCGGGTAGTTGCGAGATTCTGCAAGTGTTTGGCAAAGCTGTTGGCAAACCAAGGACGGCCTTGTGGGCACGCCTGGCTCAAGCCAAGGAGTTGCATCAGGCGATCACCGCGCGGGTGGCCGAGGCAGGTCAAGCGCTCTTCATTGTCCACATATGGCTAGCAGAATTCTGCCGACTTTGAACTGAAGATATGTGCGCAGCATTTGCTATTAGATGCACACGCCCAGTAGCCAAACATGTTCGGCTCGTGAGAGTCTGGGATCTGCGTAGATGTTGCACGGCCATGCCTAGCTCAAGCAAGTCCAAAATGCGCGAACCCTATTTGACTTGCGCCAATGCAGTAGTACACTTGTCTTGGGGAAGTTTTGTAGCACCAGCTTAGAAGCAGTCCAAGTGCTTCATCAGAGCCCGTACGGAACGAAGCAGCCTTTTTTGGCGACATTTTTTCGGCATTTTGGCCGGATGCTAGGAAACATAGATGTGCGTTGCACATGTAGTTGTTTGAGCAGGCCGCGCTTGCTGACTAGTGTTTTGCCGTAGGTTCATCACGTCCTATGTCTGCAGCGCGCAAGGCTGTGGAGATTGAAGACTTCGACAAAGCTGAGGAAGTTTACGAGCTTCAAAGACTTGCAGAGGTGCAATCACTGCTGCTTCCGTTTCTCTGCCATGATTTGAAGTTGGACCTGACGCTGCATTGGAGGACTGCATCAAAGGCTTCGAGCTAGATGAATCTCAAGGAAGGATCCGGGGGAGTAGCACTGCTGCTTCGGCCCTGGCTGATGTTGCAAGAAGCCTACACGAAAGGTGGATCTGCCGACCTGACATCTGGGGCAATCTCGCTTGGAACGGCATCATCACTTGGACTCCTTGAAGGCTGGAACAGGTGTTTCTGTCGGGAGCTTGCGCAACTGACAGTTGGGCTGGTACTCAAGACCCACTGCAAAAAAAGCAGGTGACTTCACTGTGGAGTTTTGGATGCGATGCCACGTGCCGGCCCTAACCATCCGGGTACGGATTTGGCGCCGTCATTCCCTGATGCTTGGTTGATGTCTTGATCCAGGATGTTGCAAATCAATGTCCGCTGCTCACTGGCGATCCCTCAAGCTCTGGAAGCTTTCCGCACGCCAGCTGCAATTACGGATGATTGCCTTGCCCTATCCCTGAGGATTTTCTTTAACATTCATGGCAGCATGAGCCCAATGATTTTTTTGAAGAGGATTGTTTTTGCATGGTTTTGACGAACTCACAGTGCTGAGCATCCTTCAGCATTTGCTATGACAGGTGAAGGTCAGACAATCTTCCTGGCCTAATCCCCTTTCCCTAATATTTATTAGATATTCCCGTTATGTGGTACATTATACTTATATTGGGAGTATCCAATATTAGGGGGGGTTGGAAGGGGGGTTGAATACTAGGGGGAGGGGATGAAGCAACAAGTTGCCTTGTGGTAAACCTGTCAGCAAGCAACGGCAGCACCTGTCCAAAAGCCAAGCAAATCTACCCATTCCCCCCTATTGCCTCAGATCAGCGTGCGAAGCTCCACAGTGGATCTTCCATGACTCAGAAGGCGGTATCTTAACCTCATGAAACCAAGTTGATGAGTAAGATCGAAAAGCCAAAACACATGCTCGTAAGGAAAAAGGCTTGTAAGCCCAAGATTGAGGTCCATCAACTGTCTCCAGAGAGTCACAAGAAGAACGGCTCCAACCAGTCACCAACTGTGAGGGGAACGAGTATGAAACCCCGGCCTCGGAATGAACCAATGTGACTTTGACGAGTGTGATAACGAAACACAACTGAATCCGATTCCTTAGAAGTTGCCACAAGTTCAAAAAGGATGGACTACCTACCATAGGGGATGGGGGATGGAAATGGCCCAGCTTGACTAATGTGACTGCACGGCAAGCAAGGTCGTCACTCTTTGTTCTTGCGCAGACCTTCAAAGGGAAAGAAGAGTGCCTCACAGTGTGTACAGTTATGCCACAAATTGTGCAACACTGGAAAGCACACTCGTCACTTGCACATACAGGAAGTGTCCTTGTTTGCAAGGGTATTCGCTTTTGTTTTTCGTTGCGTGCTCTTCACACAGTTGCTGCCGATCTGGTTGCAGACCAGGTCGCTCTATGCAAAGCCTGGCGGAGGCATGAAAGCCCAGGGTTTGCAGGATGTCTTGACATATTGAGAACGCACAGCCAGGCATCCAGTTGGACTTTGCCGGCGGTAGCAGCTATTCCTCGAGGATGCGCTTGCAACAGCGCCTTTGCTGATGGATGTTTGCTCCCGCGGCCTTTCTTGCCTACTGAGAACTGAGGACACGGAGGTGGACGCATGTAGCCTTCTCATTCAGCTTTAGCGCGACTGACAACGACTTCAAGGTTGCAGCAGGGTTTCCAATCGCGTCGCTTGTCCCAAGCTGCAGAGCGGTGGAGGTGATCATCTACCAGGATGGTCTGCAGGCCCCTGTTTGAGTTGAACCGTTCACGCCTCATCTGTCAGCCTGTCAGCACGGTCAGGTAGAGTTTGGAAGCGAGATCTGGGCCATCAACGTTGACTCCGAGATCAGGCCAGAAAAGGGTTCTTTGGAAGATGTGCCCACATGAGCTGCCTCCACTGGTGGGTGTAGGGCTGTAGGTGCGCTTGCCAGGGATCTGGCACCAAGTGTCCAAGTGGAGGTTGATGTGATGTTGGGCTGGTAGAGACAAGCCCGCAGGGTCTGGTTGTTGTTCCAACTAGAGCTTGTTGGTAGAATGCGTGCCAGGCTACTGGTCGTTCGTGCTTTTCAGGTTTTTGCAGGAGCGGAGGGTTGAGGGGCAGAGGATCGGATAGTGTTGTTTCTAGGAATTCGCTGAGATTTCATGCTTGGAAGCTAGCATCACTTGGACAGAGCAAATAGTGCACAAGGTTGACTGCACTCTTCAGGGATTGCTTGCACAAACCGCCATGCTGGAATCAATGCCTTGCCTCACGGCTATGCAAGCCACGTCGTCCTTGGCAAGGGTCTTTCGAACAACTGGTGCAGGCTCGGCCCCTTCCCTGGGAAGTTGGCAGAGTTCCGCATTTGGGACCATGCACGGGCTGCGGAGGAGGCGGAGTTCCATATACAAGCCCTTTCTTCGGCTGGCCAGTTCATGTACGCATGCGCTCAAGCTCGAACTTTCACGCAGCCTTGTCCTCGAGGTGGAAACATGGATGTCTCGTCGATGCAAGGGTGACGAGCCAGGTCTCGCCTGCTGTCTGAGTCTCCGGCCTGCGCGTAGCTTGTCTCCAGTGTTGAGAGTTTCTGCACGCATCCACAGAAACTTTACAAACGCAATTGAGGTGGTTTGTCGGACTCCACTTTGGATCCAGAAAAGGCTCTGGCAGCAGGGCATTTCTTTTCTGACCGAGGGCAATGGGATGGAGACTTGTCTGCACGTTGAAGCAGCAGAGGCAGCCTGCGCTGTTATGTCAGGCCTTTTGCTAATTACACGCGCCCGGTGCATGCCGCAAGGTCAGATCACTTGGGATGGGGACTGCCCCAGCCAACTTCTTGATCCAGGAGTTGATCTTCCATACGAGCTTGCCCTTCGCTTAGTTCCTTGTGCACTTACGATGCTGGCCGGCCTCATCTTTCCAGAATCAGGTGTCGGAATGCCCAATCTGCTCGATTGCATTTACAGAGGCGGGAGGTCCTTCAAACTCGTTACTGCTCGATGTAGTGTCCTGTGTGTGGACATGCCTGGCTACAGGGCTCGCACTACTGCAGAGAGTGCGGAAAGAAGCGTCCACGAAAACAGGCCGCGTTGTTGGGCCAGTGCCTGCAGCTCCGTCTAAAGCAATTGCAGGAGAATAATTTCCAATTGGAGAGCTTGCAGAATCTTGTGACACTTCCTCACACAACACCCATACTGTAAAGCTCTTGTATACCCCTTACTGTATAAAAAACTCTCCATTGAAAACTCCTCTTCTGGGATGCTCGGGCCTAGCATACAATCTGGGAGCAGTCAAAACCAAGCAGGCTGAGAGGGCTGGCCCTACCAGGTTTCTTGCTGTGGCAAGGGATGTTCGCAATACTGAAAGACTGTGAGATTGCAAGCCGGAGTTCTCGTGGGGGCGTTTCGAGTTCGTCAGGGTTTTTTATGATGAGCCACCCAGAGAAAGTCAAAGGCTTCAAAGGGAGAAATGCGGCAAGGCAACTATGGAGGGAGGGGAAGGTGCTGAGGCAGCAGGAGAGGATCTTCGAAGGGGTTGGATTTTTGGTTAGATCGTGGCATGTAGGGTGCCTGGACTGAACTTGTCTAACGGCCAGGCTAGAGGAGGCTCATGTAACCTCCGTGAGCAGCAGGGGGATGCTGCCGAAAGCCATAAGCACAGAGTAACGGGCCGCCTCGCACAGGTGAAGCCTGACACTGCCACCATCAGCGACCCGTGGAGCGACCAGAGCTTGCTACGAGCGTGGCAGTGGCTCGATAGCTCGCACCTCCGCAGAAGTTGGCGCTGAAGGCATGCAAGGCTGTTCTTGAGTCAATCATGCGGATAATCAGCCGAGGCACGAGACGAAGGCAACTGGACATGTTTGCATTCTGTGATTGCATTGGTGATGGTATTGCTGTGTTGGGAGTTTTGTGCTCTTGAGGTTGGCGAGCGTCACCAAGTTGCAAATTATGATGTGCAGCTCTTGGCGAAGCGATTCCATTTTACTATTCTTTTTTTTTTCTGGCTTTTTGCTTTGTTACTCTCGCTTTCTGATGGCTCCAAGCAAGCTAGCACCATCCCTAAGCCTTAGACTCTAAGGCCGTCTCTAGTTTCAACAACAGCCTTTTGGGCTCAAGGTTGCGTCTCCAGATGCTATTTCTGTCAACCAATGAACCTGAGTTCCCTCATCTGAACTTCAAGAAGTGCTGCTCTTTCACCACAAGCTGGGGTCGTCATCCGTCCAGGCAAATATCGGAGTACTTTTGAAGGGATTCTCCACCCGCCAGAAGAGAAACTAGCTGATGTGAATTTGGTATTTGTGTTGTTGAGGCTTCGCTTGCTGGATTGTCAAACTCCTTGGGATCTGCAAGTAGCTTGGAATCCCAGGAAGGCGAATGGTTGAACGCCGGCAGCTGGAATCTGAGACTCGTCAGGCAGGCACCTTCTGAAGTTGAAGGGCTGAATGCTGAAATCAGATGATTGCAGGAAGGGGAGCGCCAGCGAAAGGCATACTTGGAATGGCAAGAGCAGCAAAGACAGCAGGCAGATGCGCGAAAGCAATTGTATGAAGCACCGAAGATCGTGACAGTCAGGAAGAGATGGAAGCAAAGCTCAAAGCGGAAGAGGTGCGGCCAGGGAGTGAGGTATCTGGTTGCAAGCTGACAGCAAGGCAAGATTGTGACCTCACCCCTCATGATGCAAGCGTCTCGCTATCTGGCCCCGGCAGAACCTTCTACACGTCAGTTAGTGTAGGCTTAGAAGCCATGGGCCAGCGCTGGTTGCCACCAGCATGCGGATTTCTGCCTTTGCTATCGTTTCTGGCTGAGGCAGGGCATTTTCCAACATGATCCTTGTGCGCACGGTCTCTGATGTATAGGTTGGTGGACCATCGTGGATGTAACCCTTGACAATCCCTACGGCGCGTCAGCAAGTCTTATGGAGATCTCTAGAAGACAATTCCGAGTCTTGTGAAAGACTAAGCAACCTGCCTCGTGCGCCCCCAAACTAGTAGTACATACCTTGGATTGCCGGATGGTCGGTGCGCGATAGGCACAACCTGGGCTGCTCGAGCAGTTCGCGGGCTATGATGTCTTCTGGCGGATATGGTGCTGCAGCTCCTAGCGTTGACACGGGTTCAAGAATGCCTGTAGTTGCTAACATGGCTGGAAGTATCTCCGTGGACCATGCTCTGCAGTAGAGGATGAGTGGGCATTCAGAGTAGTGGTCATTTCGAATCACCCTGGGCACCCGATGGTCATCGAATGATTTCCGTTCCGCAGGGAAATTGAGGAAACAAGCAGGAGGTGATAGCAGGAAATTTGAAGACACGACCTCCAGACGGGCGTCGTTCCCAGTTGGTAGCTGTTGGCCTCATTTGATCTTGTGTCCTGGGCCCGTGAGCCAAGAGTTGGAGTTCAGCTTCGCTTTGCCAAAGCAAGGTCCGCCTACCCATATGGAAAGCGGCCGAGAGGGTACAGGAGGATGAGCGCAATCTGCGGTCCATGACGGTCTCCAAGGTGGCGATAGACATAATCAGATTTGAAGCATCTCACGGTGATGCATCAACTGCACTGATAAAAATAACTCAGCATCAGATGGTCACACCTGTGAGCTACTAGCGTATGAATCGAAATGCCAGCTTCAGTGTCAGCAAGAGCGCAAGAGGTCACATAAACAAAGCTACAAGTGAGTATATACGCATGTGTATATACATTCATGTGGGTTTACTTAGATTTTTATGTGGGACCCTCACAAGACCCAGCTTTGTAAGATGCGGAATGCTTTATTGCAAGACATTCAGTATAAGAAAAGGCCCAAGAACATTTCCAGCATGGGTTTTGGGGACTCTTGCGCCTTTGTAAGCCAGAGAGGCAATCAAGTGTTAGCTCCCAGACCCCAAGAAGATTGAGGCCTCTCAGCATTTTTCAGCTCTCAGGGCTTCAGACTCTTTGGGGCTTTGTGCAAAAATGCTGGCCTCAAACGACTCGATCTTCCGAAGTCTCGGGTGGGTAGACTCAAAATCGAAAAGATGAAGGCCTTTCGCAGTTTTGGAGTTCTTAGAATCCCAAGACCATGAGAGGTCTCAGTCTTGTCAAATTCCGGACCCAAAAAAGATGAGGCCTCTCAGAGTTTGCAGCTCCGACATGAGAGATGTCAGATCACAGAACAACCTGGATGTTGGAGGAGAGGTATATGTTAATTTTTTTTGCTTACACACATACGTACCGACAAAACCTAAAGACATAGACATTGCTAAGCTTCGTAAAGGGAGTAGGCATGCATTTTTCATCCAGATCTGCTGCTGCGCAGGTGCCTGGAGAGCCGCCGCATCCACAGGTCCCTCACCGCTTTGGGGCAACAATGACCTTCATATCCACCGACACAGGCGTGGCATACAATTCCAGGGTCCCCCCTCCTCTATGTTAGTATCAGCATTATCCAGCAGTATGGCTTGGCATTTTTTTAATCATTTGTTGTTGTTTTGTATCAGCTTCAAAATCATGTGATGTGTGCAGTGCTGCTCTTCTCAGGCTTGTTCTTGCTAGCCTGGTTTTGTTGATGTTGTGGTTGTTGTCGGGGCTTCTCCCGTCAGATTTACACCACAGCAAACTTTCAGTGTCAGAATGCTTGCTTTGTTGAGTTACTGCTACTTGACTTCTTGTGACGATGGTAAGTGTAATTTCCGTGATGGGAGTACTTGCAGTGATGCTCGTGGACATCATAAAATTACCATCCAAGTGCTGAAGATGCTTGGGAAGCTTGATCGACGTCTTCTCGATTCTTCCGCTGTTCAGTGCAGGAATTAAATAAAGTACGTTTTGGCACACCTGGCTAAGTATGTAGAGACCAGGCTTTTTTTTTCTGAAGGAGCTAACCAGGACTGTCACCGGATTGGAGGACAGTAGAAGGGTGGGAGCTGGCAAGCGTGTTCTCGTTTGTATCAACGTCTTATGCCCCTACCCTACCCAACATCATGTGACATTCATGCATCTTCAATAGCACGCTCTTGCTTTGGCATGCTGCCAGGTTATCCTGCCAAAGGCTCTGGATTCTTTGCACAGGATGTGGACCTCAGGGCCTCGCGAATGGAAACAATTCGGCCGTTCCTTGGAAAGATAAAAGGAATGGACACAAACCTGACCATGCTGACGCTTGGTTTCTTCCAGAGGCTGTTCTTTGATCGAGGCAACTCATTTGTCAAGTGTTGTTGCTTGCTGAGAGCCCTTGCATGTCAGGAATGTTGGGAGTCGTTCTTGGGATCTGACTGGGGGCAAAGATCCCATGTGCCGGGTGCTTCCAATGTTCGGATCACATGGATGCCTGTTTGCAGCTGGCGCTGTCGTCTGTGATTTCATTCAAGCCAGTATCTTCTTCTAGCTTGCTACGGAGATGCCTGTGTTTTGTCCAAGGCTTCACCAACATGTTCGCTTGGGCTGGGAATGCTATGCTCTCTGAGTATGCGGGGGAGCACATGGTAGCTGGACGCAGCTGCCAGCTGTGGCGCTACCGTTACGGGAGCTCTCTGAGAGCCTGGTGTGCATGCTCGCGTTTCTATCCTTGTTCTAGTCTTTTGTGCTTCCCTGGTGCCGTAGACGAGTCTCGCACCAGACAGGTTGCAAAGGAGAGAGCAAGGTTTGGACAACTTTTGCACAGCTCGCGGTTTGTATCCTGTAGGAACATCTTCGGAAAACTAGAAGCGTAAAATAACAAGTGGTCAACTGCCTACATGCACATACCACGGGAAGAGCAAACTCTAGAATGAGGCGGGTGGTGGGGATTCAGACGCCCCGGATGACTATTCGAACATATTCGAAGGGGCTTGGTGGGCCATGTGGGGTGTAGCTTGGCTCCTCCCTTCCTAAGCCAGCAGACATCCTTTCATAAATTGAGCGCTCGAAGCGCTCGATACGCCGTAAGAAAGCATCCGTCCGCACGGTTTGCGCTCAAAATGCTACACCAGAGGCCTGTGTTACTTGCGTACAAGGCTGGTGCAAAACTCGCTCATCGACTACATCAACTCTAGGATCCCTGAACCATATGCGATGCCTCCCAAACCAAAATCAAGAAACTAAGAAAGAGTAAGAGCCTGTAACTAAGCTAGTTAGAAAGTCACAAGTAGGAGTCGTACATGAAGTAGAACCAGCTCTTGTTTTCTGACTTCAGCGCCAATGTTTCGAAGGATTTTCGAAGGATTTTAGTTGTGTGTCAAACAGGAAAAGCATGGAAAAGCTAAATCAGCTGGCTGGCGTAAGAAGCCGTCTAGCAGGTGAGCTGTGCAGCTCAGAGTGTCGCTCCATCATGCATTGTAGTTAGTTCTTCCATTCAACGGTAACTACTTGGCGTGCTTGCTAAACAAACAGTTCCAGCTTTGGTCATTACCCCTTTGTGGGGCCCAGGCTTTGCAAATGACTCCTGTCATGAGTTCTTGCGGTTGAGCGAATATCAGACTTGACTTGATCGCAGGAGCGAGACCCTGAACCAGACCTTGTGTGCACATGGGAATATCCCGGTGGAACTCAACATTTCCATAAACAATGCCACTGGCGTCTTGATTGCAAGTGGGCGCAAAAATCCGTTTCCAATTCTGGTCAGTTTCTGCACGTGCATCTGCACGCGCTAGGCGCAGCGATCAAGAAGTTGCAGTCTAGCTACCACTTCAACGAGATCACCACACAGGCAGACTGCACAATTGTTGCTTTTCCACGAATGTTGGAGTATGACATGAAGCGGGCTATAATTCGATCTGAGCAGCCAAGATGTGACAGGTTGACCAGACTCTTTTGGAAAAGCCTTCAATTTGTGACAGCGTTGCTCCAGCCTGCGAGAACGGGCGCGGGGCTGGGCCCGTCACTTTGGCTCCCCGGAACGATTTGAGAGTTGGTTTGGGTGGGTCATAGGGCACAGTCTGATACCTTTAGTTTACTTTGGACGTCTTAGACCAGAGTTTGGCATGTCAAGTGCAGAGATAAGGCGTTCCAAAGCTACTGTCTGCTCAACCGGGGGTGCCGAGGATGCTTTCGTTTTCCATCCTGGCATTTCAGCCGCGGACTACAACCTTGAGGACATTTGGCCCAATGCCCAGCCACTGCACTGCCGTGGATAAAGAACCCGTATGTTTTCAGGACCAGAATGTGGCCGATCTGCACGGGGATGCGCTTTTCATTTGTATGGACTGCCTCGGGAACCAGACGTCCTTCATCGACCACAACTACACACGGCCATTAGCCTGAAATTAGTGTGAGGTATGGGTGAGTTCAGTTCGGCATTTTTGAATGATATTTGCGTGCTATGCAGACATGTCGACCTGGCTGTCCCGCTGCTGCTGGCACGAAGCCCCTTCATCCCCGTCTGAGCCACATTTGTACCCAAATGATCCCACATATGTTATTACTAGAAAAGTCTGGCACTCACTGTCACGATGGTCGAGCCCGCGGACAGGACAGACTTGCAAATGCCCGGGCGTGATGCCGGCTACCAGTCTAGAAGTATCTGGAAGTCGGGACGATGCACGGGGAGTTTGCAGGATGCCTGCCAGGGCCTGGCGCACCACCTGTTTGTGTGAGGACACTTATGTGGTGAACATCCCGTGCAGACTGCACCTAAGCCTGGAACAGCTCACGGCCAACGTTGTAATTAAAGTATGTACAGCCCTACATGATGTTGATGGGCCCGCTTCGCCTGCCAAACGGCAGCTTGATTGGGTATCTTTCACCCCCCTCGCGCGTAATACAATCACTAGCAGTTGTGGAACTACAGTCTGCATTGTGTGGCCGTGCAAGCAATTGGCAACCGGCTGTGCCATCGAGAGTTGCGCGGATTGGTTCAAGCGTGTACTAGCCCTAATTTCTGACGAGTGTCAGTTCTTTCTTCATGTGGCAAAAGGCCTGGCGACCATTGGCCTTTTTCCTGACGAGTGTCAGCCTTGGTTGAGCTTGACGAGTGTCAGTGTGTCTCATTCGGGTTGGTGTGAGGAGTGTCTGCCTTGTGTGTGCCTGACGAGCGTCAGTGTGTTTCATCTGGATTGGTGGTGCTTGTGCTTGCAGCTGTCTATAACCAATCGTGTTGCAGCAAGTTTGCTGACTTTGGCATCCGTGGCGTTGATCGATTGCTGCTGTTTGTTTCATTCTTGTGTGCGTCATGGCGGATCCAGCATGGGTTGCGACTATGACCGCGGCCGCCGTGCCAGAGGCGGTGCACATGAAGCTGTGGACATGGGATATTCCAGTCGCGCGTCATTCTCATTCGCAACGGAGGAGGTGTTCAAAGCCTTCATGAAAGCATGCGCTGGTGTTGGCTGCACTAGTGGCTGGCGTGTCGGCGGATTGCTGGGGATTTCACCCACTAGTGAGAATGCTGCGGAGTGTTTGGAAGGATTGTCAGCCTGAAGCAAGTGAGAGCAATGGCCGGCAGACAGGTTGCGCCGCGACCTGGGGGTGAAGTGCCCAAGTGTGCTAATTACGGCGTTTAGCCTGCCGGCTATGTGTTATCTTCAGCTTGTGCAGTCTCAAATCTCGCAAAAAGTTTCGGAGTGGGTGCCTTGGAAGAAGATGCTCAGCGAAAAGGCTGTCAGTGCCGTGCGAGAAAGGAAGGTGGACAAAGAGCGCGACGCCATTGCGGAGTATCTAATGGTCGCCTCAGGTGTGCAAGCATAACAGTGGTATCGGTATTTGGACTTGTCACCATCCCCACTCAAAGTTCAGGGGCAGATGCGGCAGAGGCATTGGCTCTGCTATGCCGCTTGTCATTTTGGATGCAGCCGGGCTGCGTATTTGTGGTTCCGGGCGGCGGCCTGTTTCGTTCGCATCGTGCAGAGGCTCATCAGGCGGCGACATTTCATGTCAATGTTTGTGGACAACCTGCTGGGCTTGCTGCGTCGGGGATCTGCGGAGTTGTGACGTGTGTCTCCTTATCTACTTAGCGTCAGCGTTGGGTCTTCCGCTCGGCTGGCGTAAACTGAAGCTGGGCGCCAGGCCCAGGTGGATTGGATGGGTTAATTTCACAGAGAGCCTGAGAGTTGCTCCATGCGCTGCGCTGCCTGAGGAGAAGCGAAAGCGCTTGCTGGCAGCTCGGGTTTGCCAAAGAGCCCTGGAAAACCGCCTTGGGATGCTTCGTTGGTTTACCGCAGTATCCCCTTCCTTGCGTTGCTGGTTGCGTGATACATTGTGTGCGTTCCGCAAACCTGTGGTAGTCATGCGAAAACTGGGGCCGCCGCGCAGTTTTATTTGGAGTTGGTACGTTAAGGGTTGCTGTGCGTCCAGTAGAAACAGCAGGACCTAGGCTTGTAGCAGCTGTTGACGCCTTTGCCGAGGGTGGTCCTGCAGGGGTTGGCGGCTGGTGGCTGCGGCAAGATAGCGTTTTTTTTGGTTTTCTTGTTGTATCGCGCTTGCTGATCTCCCAAACTGGTTCGGTGGCAACACGGACTTGGAAAGAGTCATCTCGGCCCTGGAAGCTTTAGCGCAGTTAGTGCTTTGCGCGCTTGTCCTCCGCGAGGAACCTTTGGATCGCCGCCCGGCGCATTTGGGGAGGATGGCGCTGCCGCTGCGTCAGTATTGTGATAATTCTGCAGTGGTCGGCGCAGCAGCAAAGGGCTCTTCCATGTCGGCGCCGCTGGCGGAAATTATGAAAGCCACGGCTAGGCTCTGCCTCCAGCATGGCATTGCACTGAAGGTCGCCCACGTGGCAGGGCACAAAAATCATTGGGCCGATGTCCTTCCGAGAGGTCGGCAAAAGGATCCCAGATTTTGGGACCAATTGAGTGTGGCCAAGTGCTGATATTTGGATTGGGCAAAATTGCTTCAGGGCAGCGGTGCCGGTGCCCAAGTGCCGGATGAACATTCAGTAGATTTGCTTATTCGCAGGGGATTCTGAGCATTAGTATGTGGTGATACCAGTGTGGTGTAGATCGTTCAGGGCACAAGCCGTGTGCTGGGCACCTTACAGCGGGCATCGAGTGATGTCATTGTTGTGTTCCTCAGAGTCTCCCGCTGTGCGGGGGTCTAATGGCCGCGCGTTGCTTAGCATGTGTTTCCGTGCAGGTGCGGCCGACTTTTGGCAGCGGCTGCGTTTTGGAGTGCCGATAGCATGGATATGCATGGACTTGTTGGCTGCCAAAAGTTTTGGCTCTGTAGTATGCGCGTCCACAGAATGCTCGTATGGGTACTTCACGGCCCCGCCTCAATCGCGTGTAATACAATCACTAGCAGTGATGGAGCTGGACTTATGGAGGGGGGGCAAGTTTTTTTTGGAATTTTTGTCTGTTTGTTTTTGGAATTTCTTTCTGTCTTCTACCACCGATTTGACCAAATCCCGCAGCTGCACATATCCCAGGCATACCACAATTAATCAAATCCCGCTACCATTTTCTGTGTTCTGCCCCCGATTTTAATCAAATCCCCCAGCTGGACATGTCCTCATACCACAATTAATCAAATCCCGCTACCATTTTCTGTGTTCTGCCCCCGATTTTAATCAAATCCCCCAGCTGGGCATGTCCTCAATCATACCCAAATTCATTAAATCCCACGGCTGGATTCCTTCCCTGATGCAAACTGAAAGAAATCAAGGTTTTGCAGTCGTCCAAACTGTCTCAGCCCATAGGTTCACTGCCAGAATTAATTCAATCCCACACTGTCTCCTACTCAAAACCGGGATCTACGCTCCCATCTTTTCACAGCCCAAAGGAATCTCTTCGAAAAGTACTCAAACCCTCTACCGGCATCCTGGATTTGCTCACAGCCCAAGACAGTCAGTGCCAGAAACACAGCCCAACAAATGCAGCACAATAATTATTCAAATCCCTCAGCTGCGTCCCAAGTTGTCGCAGGCCAACACGTTCAGTGCCACAATAATCCAATCCCTTACCCGCGTCCCAAAATTCCTTACAGACTCCAAGAGCGTCACTACCAGAATTAACCAAATCCACAGCCCAAGACAGTCAGTGCGAGAAACACAGCCCAAGAACTGCGCCACAATAATTACTCAAATCCCTCAGCTGCGTCCCAAGTTGTCGCAGGCCAACGCGTTCAGTGCCACAATAATCCAATCCTTTACCCGCATCCCAAAATTCCTCACAGACTCCAAGAGCGTCACTACCAGAATTAATCAAATCCCGCGGCCGCCTCTCAAAGTTTCTCGCAGCCCAATAAGTTCATTGCCAGGATTTGCGTCCCATTCTCACCGCACTTTCTGACAACCCAAATTTTTACACACCCCAATAGATTCACTGCCGCAATTACTCAAATCCCCCGCCTACATCCCAAATTTTGTCGCAGCCCAAGAGCGTGAGCCATAATTAGTCAAATCCCGCACCCGCGTCTCCCAAATTAGCTCGCAGCCCAAAAGCTTCACCCCCAGAATTACTCATTTTCTCACAGCCCCATACATTCGGTGCCAGAATCAATCAAGTGGTACTAGTAGTATCTAGTAGCCACTTTTCCGCCCAGCAAAACGCCCATTTTTTGGCATTGCATTTGTTGGCTGAACGTTCGTGTTTGTTGGATGAACGTTCGTGTTCCAAGAGCATACGGTGACCAGAGCATCCATGCCCAAACCATAATAACGTTCGTGTTCGAACAGCATACGGCTTCATTTTGCAAAGACTCACGTACAATCAGCAACAAAAACAATAATTTTAATATAGAATTAGTCAAATCCCTCACTTGCGTCCGAAATTGCCCAAAACAATCACTCTGAGAAGTATTGAAATCCTTTGCTTTTGCTCACACACCCCAGTGAAATCACGACCATAGTTAATCAAATCCCTGGCCTGCGTCCCAAATGCTGTCAGAGGCCAACACATTCGGTGCCAAAAGTTGTCGACTGCGCCTCACATTTCCTCACAGATTGCCAGAGTAATCAACGCCTGTACCGTACCTGTTTCCTAACTTGACAAATAACACAAAACGTTCACTGCCAGAGTAGCATCCTTTATGGAACTGCATCCCACAGTATTTCAGACTGAACCGGGACCTGCATTCCCATTTTTCAGGACCCCAAAAAGTCACTCTGAGATGTACTCGAATCCCGTACCCGCAGCCCGAATTTAATGATCGTCGAATCAGTGCCAGAATCAGTCAAATCCCGTAGCTGCGGCCGAATTTAGTCACAGAGGCCAACAGACTCACTGCACAATCGATTGATTCACTGCCTTAATTAATCAAATCCTTCACCTCCCTCCCAAATGTTGTCACAGGCCTACGCATTCAGTGCCACAGTGCATTAAATCCCTTACCTGCATTCCCACGGTCCTCACAGGGGCCAACAGCCTCAGTGCCAGAATTAGTCAAATCCCTCACTTGCGTCCGAAATTGCCCAAAAAAAACGTTCTGAGAAGCATCTGCGATTTGATTTTTTTTGGCACAGCCGAATAAATTCACTGCCAGAAGTAATCAAATCCTTCACCTGCATCCCAAGTTTTCTCACGGCCTAGTAGATCGCTGACCTGCGTCCCAGATTGTATCACAGCCCAATAAAGTCAGTGCTCCAACGGATCATGCGTCCCAAATTTTTCGCCCTCATAGCTCAATAGATTGCCCAGTCGTGCGATCACCCCCAGGTCGCAGGAAAACAATTCCAAAAAAACAGAGCAAAAAAATCCAAAATAAAAAGTGGTGCCCTTATGGAGTATAGTCTGCGTTGTGTTGACTTGTAGACAATTGGCAACAGGCTGTGCCGTCGACTTCGAACGCCGCCCGCTTGGGCCAGTGAGGGGAGATGGTGGGCAGGCCGCGGCGATGCGGCTACGAATGTGTTGCGTCCAATGGCATGGAGTGAAGAGAGCATGAATATATGAATATGCATGAACTTGTTGGCGGCCAACAGTTTTGACGTTGTAGCATGCGCGTCCACAGGATGCTAGTGATTGCAACATTATCATCAGAAAGATGGGCCTTGCAGTTTTGCAGGGCATGACCCAAAGCAGGCTTTAACCCACCAGCAACGGTGGATTGCAGCCACACCTCAGCGCAGAGTTGGGGGGATAAAGGAGGTAGACGAAAGGGCCAGGGTTTGGTCTGCCTGTTCTTGGACGCCTGTCGCGCCGCTGGCCACTGCTAGTTGTCCGCACGGCGGGTATTTGACATATTTGACATGACTGCTTCTGCCTTGTTTATCGAAGGATCTCGCGGTACTCATTGCTAGTTTCGCCAGCTTTCGGCCAGTTGCTTTGCTGCATCTGGACTCTTTGAGCTGCTGCTGGTGTCTGTTGCAATCCGGGTATGTTCAGACCTGCCTGCCTGCTGAAGCTTTTGTCAGCAGTGGGCTCCACGCAAGCCCAGCTGTTGGGCTGGTGTGGTGAATCATCCCCTAATTGTGGTATTGAGGTATGCCTTGTGCAATGGTTACCCAGCACGGGCCTTAACTCTGTTTTGGAGTCGTGCAATTCCAAAATGAAACAGCCTGTACTCTGTCTTTCAAGGACACCTCGCCACCAGGGCCTGTCTGCGATGGTGGTGATGCCCGTTTAGTGGGTAAAGAGGCTCCTTTCTTTGCTGGAGATGGAGAGAGCAGGCTCGCAGCCAAAAGCAGTGCCCATGGCTAGCGTACCAGCAAACCCGGGCAGCTTTGTCCAGAGCAGGTGCGCCGCCGACAGCCCCATCGGTTTTTGGCTTCTTGGCCAGTCCAATTTGTCTCTGCACTTGATGACCTTGACAAAGCTAAGGTATGGTCTTCCCAAGTCGGGCCATTGTGCGCCCGGCGAGGTCCCGGCAAAGACGGCATCGGAGTCTGGCTGCACGTGGTCCATCATTAAGCGTCACAAGACAATCAACCAGGCGCTCTCCTCCAAAGTATTCGATGTGCAAGCTCCCATTGTACCAGTTCCACGTTCTGTGTCCTGTTGACGTAAACACTTCTGTCCGATGATGATGCTTACACAGTACCCAAGATGCAGCACGCAGCTTGCGGCAGCGCATTCTTCCTGTCGGCTGCAGACCTGCCTGCTGAACGACCACCACTACTTGTCCTTTTGCCAAGCTGACTTCAAAGAGGGTGCAAGCTTTCCAAGGTGCCTCCCAGAGTTGATTCCATGGCGGTAGGTATTAGAGTGTTCTATATAGGGATTATAGGGTATGATATTGGGGTTATGTAGGTATAATGGAAATGAAAATGAAAATTACTATAGTATATAGGGGTTAGAAATGGTTACATTTGGGATAATGGAAAAGAACATGAAAACTATTGTTTAGGGTTACCTAATGACCTAATGTTGATTCTGCAAATCAGGAGCCAAGCTGCGCTTTTGGCAGCTTTCAGCTCCGAGGAAGCTTGCGGGCAACAGCATTTCTCACATATACATTTATATATATATGTATAGAAAGGGGTTACATAGGGGTAGTAGGGGGTAATATAGGGATAATGGATAAAAGTGTGATAATATTAATATTACTTGCAGGGATTATATAGCGGAACCCTCAACCCTAGACAGATGGGTGAACATGGAGCTCAGGACGCATCTCAAGGCGGCTGTCCAGATATCGGTGGGCCTGACTTCCAGTCGGAAGTGACTTCCCTGGTCGTGTGAAACATCACCAGAGCTGCTGTAGAAGTCAGCAGCTCCTTCTCTCCTTGCAAGCTTACAAGCATGCCCCTTATGCTGCCATGTTCCTAGTTCTCACCTTCAAAATCACACACAATGTTGAAAGCAAACACCAGGAGCATAGTACCAGTAGGTCTCAAAACTCTCTTTTGAAGCGAGCTGATACATGCTGAATTTCCCGCAGAGAGTCTGCGGAGGCCAGCTGATATGTGTAGCAGCTGAGCAGAGTTGATCTCTGACTTCCCCTTCGAGCGTGTCAAGCGGCACGAGGGCTCTTGGCTCTTCGTGGCACGAGGCTCCCAAAAGAAGCGCCGTGCTGCAAGTTCTTGTGACCAGTCCTTTGCTGGTTCAGATCTTGGGGACCTGCACAGAGGATTGATGCTCGTTTGTGTCTTTGTTGCTTGTGCCCTTTTCCTGATCTCGCTTGGGTTTTGTTTTCCCTGAAGGCGACCGCGCCGCAAACCTTCATCTGAAGACCACACAAGACCGTTTTCTAAATAGTAAAGCCCTCACAAAGCGGACCGTAGCATTGAGCTCTGCAAGTGCTCCCCCATGCATCACCCAAAAATGTTCTATACTCAAAGTGCAAAAGCTGCCACGTAACAACACTCCCTGGAAGCATTGATTCCAGAGCACCTGCAGCATCAACACCCTCAGACCGAAACACACCAATGCCGGAACCGCACGGCCATACCACTTGATATCCTGCATCACTTGAAAGCCACCAAAGCGTCAAGGACAAGCACAAAAGCCCGAAGCAAGAAAATCAAGTGCCGTTGGCCTTCTTGAGTTTTGTCTGCCTCTGCCAGGAGGAAGAAGCTCGTCAAAAGGCTTTGCAGCAGGACCCTTCCATGCATTCGAAGAAGCGAGGAGCTGGGCAGAGTGGCCATGTTGATGCAGCCTGACTTGAGGAGCAACAGCTAGCGCAGCAGCTCGCTCGACGCCTGCTGCTTGGCGCAACAGAGCAAATGCCCCCAATAGTAGGCCACTTTCTTTTCCATTATCCCTTTACATAACCCCTACAGCCCTTACATCCCCTATAACCTTTATGACCCTTCCCTGACAATTTTATGGCCCCTCATATATATGTATATGTATATATATATATATATAAAACCCACGGCCTACTTGATCAGATATGACTCAGCTGTCAGGACGCAAAACCCCCTGCAGAAGCTGGCAAGTTGGACATGCCCATTCTCAAGTTACTGAGTCGTGCCATGGAGAAGCTTGATCATGGGAACCGCTTGATGTAGAATGCGGGTCATGCATGAGGGGAGCGGCATGCTGCTCAGGAGCTGAGGATGTTTAAAGATATCACAGCGCAGGTAGGAGGCTCCTGTAAAATCGCAAGTGATCATGCCCCCTGCGCTCCAGATGCAGTAGACAGGCATTTAATTTGAAAAGATACATTGACCGCTGAGTGTCCAAGAACCTGAAAGTGTTGCTGTAGGACACACTTGGCATGCCCGCGTGTGGTTTTCTGCAAAGCAGAGCCGGTATGCGGTGCACTTTTCAGTTGCAGAGAAACAGAACTGGCTAGCTTGTGTACGCTATTGCGTGCTCTCTACCTTTGCTTGTCAGGCTGTCAAAAAGGTTACAAAGAGCACACTGCATGTCTTTGCACACGACAGGGGACTATTGGCAGCCCGAGTGTTTTTCTCCAGTGTAGGTTTTAGAAGCAGTTCCCTACAGACTGCTTCGTCAATACACAGTGTGTAGACAAATTATAATACTACCAGGAGATACTGCATGTTACTGTTCAAATGATGGTCTGGTTATACAGTCTTTCACTTGTGCTCGTGTGCAAGCACGGCCCACCTTCACATGCACTGCGCCTTGCTTCTCGAACGAAGCCTCATGGCAAGGAGCAGCCGAAGCGCATGTGGTTAACAGCAGACTTGCTTGTGGCACCGATGTCCTTGACGGGACAGAGACCAATCACCAGCCGCCAGATAATCAAAAACAGGTGATTCTTGGGATGCAATTGCTTGGACAGGACATGATATGCCCTTTGGACTGGATGCCTTCTGGCAGCATCAAGCGAGACGTGTCAAATGCTGACAGGACCGCACATTTCTCATGGCAGCATCTGTTCTCCACAGCTGCATCGTGAAGAGGCACGACGCGGGTCAATCTGACGCTTGCCGTGATGCTGTTGTCATCCACTTAAAGCCGCCTAGACATTAGGTTGCTCAGTCTCTACATTCTAGCTTCCTGGCTTGGGGCGGAAATGGAACCTTGCTGCCTTTGCTGTATTGGCCGCCTGACTTGCCTGCGAAACTTGATCTGCGCTCCTTTGCGTCAAGAAAGTCGCTTGTTGGAACCAATTCACCTACATAGTGCTTCCATCTGGTTGTTGGTTAACAGTTCCGCATGCTGCGTAAGCTTGCGGGTGGCGCATTTTAGGAAGGCATGATGAGTCAAGTGAGGCAGGGTAGAGTCTGTGGCCCCGACAGGAGGCTCAAGCCCTCCTCCTCACCCAAGCCCCTCTGTGTCTACATGGTAACGACATAGGTTACCCATCAGCAGTGTGTGGATTAATTCGTCATGAAGTCGTCCATGCTGCCAGGAGGATCTTCTCGAACGAATTTCTGGAGTAGACAGCTCAGATTGGATCTTGTTGGGAAGCGCTAGGCTGCTGGTACAGCCAAGGACTGCACAACTTCTCCCGACGACATCTTCGAAGAGCTCACCAAGTCGTCCCAAGGTTCGGATGTTGCATGTTAAGCTCGATCGCAGCACTTCCTTAGCCATCAGGCCACAACCACTTCAGAGGCACTCTCGGAGCCTTTGTCTGTTGTGTTGCAGGCACTCGTCAAGAGAGTTCTTGCTGAGTTGTGTTCAAGTTCATCCTTTCCTCTCTGGACGCAGGCGCTTCCTGATCGAACAACCTGGCAGACGCGGTCTTATCATGCAGAGAGCGTGGACTCAATAGTTTTATGCGCCATTTTTGCCGGTCAAGGCCGAAACCATACATGGCATTTGTGGTCTCCTTGGCTTGTCACTTCTTTAGCGTCAGGAAATTTTGTGGGATACATCTTGCTAGATGCTCTCAGATCAGGTGCGCATGCTGCTTGAGGTCGTGCACGTGCGGCTCCCAGATGGTGCTTAAATGATCACATGTAGAGACTTTTTTCAGGTATGCTAGACAGCATGATAACCATAGGGGCTGGCTGCGAATGATGGAAAGGCGGAGGACATGCCCTCGTCAGTTCATGCCGCTGCGCAGAAGTCAAGCTTGCAGATTGGCAGTTGTAGCTTGTAACCAGATTCCTGTACTGATGATTTGAAATTGAGTGCTGCAGTGCTTCACAGCTGCATGCCAGGGCCGCCTCTGCAGCGACGCAGAAAGCAGCATCCCAGGTTCTCAAGGTCCTGCAAGAGGCCCGGGACATGCGCCTGTGGAAGTGCATTCTCTCTCTGGTGCCTTGGTGCTTTGTTTGAGTCAGGCGCAAGCTGGCGAGGATGGTGGCGCCTGGATCGTTTCCGCCTGAGATTAATGTGCCCCAGAAGTAGAACAGACGCACTTGAAAAAGATGATAAAGATGGCTTGATGACATGCAAAAGGTGGACATCTTTTGTGAGGAGTGGGAGCAGCACAAGGTGCCGTGTCGTCACCCGCACGATCCCTGCATATTCGTATGTCACCTCCATAATTCCCCAAGCAATCCCTGCCTTCTCCCTGTAACTTATTGTCTACGTGACATGCCAGGCTGGCTTGCCTCACCTTCCAGAATTTTTTGCGGATCCTCGGCCCCTGCCTTGCTAGCAGTCAATCACCACTGTTCCTGTTGGCGCACAAGTTCCCACCAACAGTTGTGGACATTGATCTGTTCATTTTGGTAACAAACTTCTTTCTGCAGTAGGGAAATGGGGGTGTTGTGGTCAAGACTCTGAGGCGGCTTGCACCACCTGAAGGAGGCCTGCTGGGATACCTGCGAGTTCCGAATTCAGAACATGTGCATGGAAACGACGGAACCCAAATTCAGATCCATTACTATTATTACTACTATTACTACTACTATTAGTACTAGTACTAGTACTGGTACCACTACCACTTCCACTGCCACTGCTGCTGCTGCTGCTCCTGCTGCTATCTCTCTAAGAACTTTGAAAGATAGAATCCATGTATGCCCCGTGTGCACGGAGGTTCGACGTAATCAGGCAAATCCTGCAACCAAAGTCAATCGAAGCACCTGGCTGTGGTGTCAGGCCGTTCGACTGGCGTGGGCAGGCTGGGCCCAGGAAAAAGATCCCGAAAAGATGATGAGAGACACGACACATTGCAGTCAAGCACAAGAAGGAGAAATTGAGGTATTGGAGGGATGCACTCGCATGTGTGATAATCCTTGCTGGTAGTCTTGGATATCTGCGTACGCGGCACTGTGGGGTTGAGGCGGCCATCCATGCAGCGGTCTGGCATTGGCATTACCGCGCAGCACGCTGTCATGACCCAAGCTTCAGCAGTTTGGAAGTTTTATGCAGGCATGCTTGGTCAGTCAAGGTGCGGAGTCTCCTGATGTGCAGGTATGGACAGTCTGGGGTCATTTGTTTCAAGAGTTTTCTAGGGCTGTCTATGCCTGACTCATCCATCGCTTGAAACAGGCGGCTGTTGAATAGCCTCCCTGGTCCATGCCTCAGCAGTCACTGTATCAATCCTGACGCCTGAAGGGAGCTAGTAGAAACCCCACTTCAAAGGTGCGCTGCAACAGGCGGAAGAACAGTCGGGAGGCTGTCGCTAGTTTTTTAGGGCATGCTTTTCCATGCTACACCTTCCAGCTTTGGTGCACTCTAGCTTTTGAGTTTTTAGCCTACTGCTAGGTCCGCAGTGGCTCCGGTACAGCCGCGATTCTGCATGGATTCACGCAGCTGTGCTTTCAATCATCTTGTGCTGAGGTGACGAGCAGTTGCCCATACAGTTGCCCGTGGAGGCAAAAGCCGGGACTCAAAAATGAGAAGAAGGAGATGCTGGATCTCCTTCCTTTGTTGGCAGGAGGCCTGCGGGCGGCTGCGGGAAGGCGGCGTCGTGAGCTTGAGCGACTACACTCGCCTCCCTTGCACCGCTTGGGAGCAACTTTGCCACCTTCTTGGTTGCTTTGGGGCCAGATGGGGTCCAATGCTGCTCGTAGCAAAACGTGGTTTCCAGCGCTAGGAAGTTGCCGATGGGACCAAACGATATCAAATGATCATTTTTTAGCGTGCTGTTTGTCCCTGCAGCCATTTTGGAGCTTTCGTGGGCGGTATTGCTGAAGCATGCTTGGCACGCCATGTCCCAAGAAAATGTGGAGATGCTCAGCGCTGGCATCCCACAAGAGGCCTCTGCCAAGTGCACCCTTCTTCTGAAACTGGGTGCTTACTTAGTCTTTGCAATCTGGTTTCATTCTCGGTCTTTGTGTGCAGGTTTCTTTAGCTCTTGAACTTCAACTGCCCAGGAAAAAGTGCGTCAGGATGCTGGATACCTTCAACCCGAAGGTCACCACGGTGGATGCCTACATGGATGATGCAAAGTTTCTGCAAGATCCCATGGTTGGGGAAGTGGAGCTGAAGTTCATTCATCAGGTCTTCTACGGCTGCCACCGCTACAGCAAGCTCCTGAAACTCTTTGTAACCAGCTTCGTCTTTAAGGTACCCGCCATCGCCGTCAGATCCGAGCAGAGCTTGTACCAAGTCTTGGCCTACCTTCTGTTTTTCAGGCCTGGCGATGATAGTTATGAGCAGCCTGAGCACATGCATGTGCAGACAGGCAGTGCGTTGTGAGGCTAGAAGAGATGGGTTTGCAAGATTTTCGAAAGTTCATCTTCTGTGGCTATGGCAGTCCGCCAGCCATTTTCGCCCTGCTGCTCCCTGGCCGCATGCGTTCTTTGCCTTCCTTTGTCCAGATGTTGTCAGAGTAAGCCATGGTCCTTTTCCTTGCAGGCAATATGCCTTGGACAGGGAGGAACTGAACAACTGGGTCATGCAGGAGTGGCTTAAGCACTACGATCCCGATTATCTGGACGAGGAGAGCCTTCCACAGCTCTTTAATGCAGGAGGTGGAAGGTAAGGTAGTCGGCTAGTTGGCATGTGTCATCTCTGGTGAAGCATGGCAGGACTTGCTCGGCAAGCTTCACCGTCGAGCCGATGATCTGAGACCATTGATGGACGAAATTCAATTAAAAGCAACCGGAGTGGCAAAGTCTGGTGGCCAACGAGGGCCTGGTACCGTGAAGTCCAGCAAGAAGCTCACCGAGTTCGAGCCCTTCAATCTCACGGCCGTGAAGCCGAGGCCGGCGCTGGAATCAGTTAAGTATCCCTGTCCAACAAATACTGAGTGATACTTTCCCAAGAACGCAACCCCCGTTACCGAAGAGCGACCCCCCATGACCCCCAAAAATCCAAATTTTGGATAACCCTCAAGTCTGCTCCCAGTAAGTAATGGTACATGGGGGGAATTGTTCTTGTCAGGGAGTAAATCCTGAACCCTAAACCGGGGTCGGGGGGTGACTGCGGTGCCCCGTCCAGGCTGATACCTGAACCAGAAGATGCGGTCCTCAAGGACCTGACCGCTCACCCCGTTCCTTCGTATATCAACAGGACACTGGGTTGTTGTTCAGGAACTTAAATTAAGTTACCATCATGGGTAACTATAGTAAATAGTAGGGTTTCCCCAATATAGTAACTTAAAGTAAGTTCCTTAACAGCAAACCCAGGACAAGCCTTGCGACAATACAAGATGAAAGGAAGAAGCAGTTGGAGGAAGAGAAGGCAAAGGTTGCCGCCAAGTACTCTACAGATGATGAATTCATTTTCGAGACTGCCAATCGGCGAGACTACGAGACGCTCAAGACACAGCTCCACGAGGAAGCAGAAAAGAAGACCATGGCCGAATGTACCTTCCAGCCAAAGTCGAATAAACGCATCATTCCATCTGATGATGCCACAGTAAGGCACAACATGGCGCAAGTCCTTCGAGAGGATGCCCGCGTAAGACAGACTATGCTTGCAGAACATGATTTACTAAAGCAGTATGAGGCAGAACTGCATGATGCTTCTGACTTTTATGCGTGGCAAGACCGGATGAGGAAGACACCGGGCGAAATTTGAGCCCTACCTTTTGAATTTCTCCTTACCCACAATAACAACTTCAAGTCACATGCCCTTACGTATTTTGATTGTAAGGAAGGATTTCCTGGAGGAGGAGGCCCGGACCAAGGAGCGCATCATCCAGACACAACTGGCAAGAGACGTGGCAACAGAAGCACATGAAGCAGCGACGAGAATGAAGACAATCCAGGCTGAGTATCAGTGTCTCGTTGTGAATTGTGGCATGCCCATGACCATCTGCCATTCGACTCACAGTGATTTACAACACCGTGAGGGTTCGAAACCAGTGTACAACTTTGCAACTGAGGAAGAAAGAGATTCAAGTCCAGCTTGCAGCTGGGCTGCAAGCAGTTCTTGAGAGGCATGTTGCCATGCGATCGTCTCTGCTAAGGAAGCCAAAGAGCGAGAGAACCTCGGATAGGTTTACTCAGATATTTCAATTTGTTGGTAGGTTTGCGGTGTTTGCGCAGATCCTTTTCGCAGCGCTTTCGTCCAGGTATGAGGTGGAGCTTGAGCAGAAGCAGAAAGCTGTGGAGCAGACTTCGGAAGACAGGGAGAAGGCGATGTCCCAAGGAAGGTACTATTCAGTAGCTTTCGACGCGTGATGCCATAGTGACCAGTGAGAGTAACGCCGTGTTCTCAAGCTCTATTGTGGTTCTTGGTCCTGTCCTCAAGGTTTCCGCTTGGATTCCTAGTTATGATTCTTGCTCCTTTACATGCACTCTTTCTTTGCAATGAGACGTTCACGTGGTGCTCCTACCAGGCCCGCATCGCAGAACAGGAGGTCCTTGTAGTCAAGCAGGAGCATGCCGAGTGCCTGAGCAGCAGCTTTGCTAGTGGCATCATAGCGCTTCTGGGCGGGGTCCGAGCCAGACGTCCGTCGCTTGACGTTGCTGAAAAGGCAACGGCGGAGGAAGAAGGAGATTGACTTGGCCAAAAGGAAGAGGGAAGAGGAGTACGAGATGGAGCGCAGCAGCGATGCACATGGCAGAAAAGAAGCGCTGAAAGTCAAGATGTTGTACTGCGTAGCCAGCTGGTCCTAAGGCAAGAAGGAGATCATTCGCCAAATCCGAGCTCTCGAGCGTGCACCGCGTGAGTCCGCAAAGGTTTTCGACCGTGCTGAGGCTCGCTTCGACAGACTCCAGTTCGCCATCAGCCACAGAATAAGTTGGCTGTCGGTTCAGGCGCCGGCGCACGGCTTCTTGGAGGAGATGTCTTACGCCGAGCTGAAAGAGAGGTTGAAGATTATGCAGGTTCAGCACGAGAGGCGCGGGGGCACTGCGTTGGGGACAGCTGAAGGATTGACAGACATCATTGCGCAGGAGCGTGGAGGCAAAGCGAGAGAGGCAGTTGGCAAAGAAGGCCGAGGGTTCGGGAGGCATGGACTAATGTGGGTCATTATCACCTTGACTTGGCCCGTAGAGCTGAAAAAACATTGCGCAGCGTGGCCCAAAGAGAGCTGATGAGCTCTGCTGGTAATGAAGGGACACACACCGAAGAGCATTCCAAGTCCCAAGCTCGCATCTTCCCATGTTGCTGATCCAGACGGCCTGCTTGGGAGGGCAGCGCGCATTGCTACGGACAACTTGTTGCGCGGCGCTCCACACGAGGTGGCCATCGCAGTCATCTCCCGAACTCGGCCAGGTTTGACTTTCGAGCAGTTTTGCAAGGCGCTTTTCAATTTTTGGGGTGTCGGCAGCAAAACTGTCAATGATGGAGTCCTGTATGTGTTGGCGCTGAGTCAGCGGGAGCATCGCATAGTAACTGGCCCTGGGATAAAGCCATATTTGACGGACGAGGTCTGCCAGGACATAGTGAAGAGTGCCGGCAAGCTTCTGAAAGAGGGCAATGTTGATGCTGCCGTTCTTCTTGTCGCGCGCCGTGTCGTCAACGGCATTTGGTGGGGCAAAGTCTGGCGTCGTCTCAGGGTCTTTGTTGCAGTTGCAGCCTTGCTGGTCGCAGCTTGGTTGTGGCGATTGGCGCGCCAATTTCGCCTGAGAGCAGAAGCGTACGCCGAGCGAGCAGGCCGACTGAAGCAACTTGCTGAGGCTGCCGTTAGTCGTTTAGAAGAGAGGTCCGGCAGCCACAATCTAGAAGCAAATCCTTGTCCTATTTGTTTAGATTGCTTAAGCAGCCATCCGCTACACCCTTCAGACTTCCAAGTTCAGGAGGGGCAGAGCGTGGTCAGGAGTGTTGAGCTGCTGAGATGTGGACACTTGGCTCATGAGCATTGTGTGTCAGAATGGCTCGGCCGCTCAAACAGCTGTCCACTTTGCAGACTTGACGACCCTCGATTGCTGGGGGCAGTGGCAGCACCGGTTGTTCTCAGTTTGGCTTCGCCAGACACTGTCCAGCAACTCCGACACGCACTGAACTGGCAGTTCCAGGACCTTGGAGATTCCCGCCAGACAGAACTTTGGCGAACGCACTTCGAGGGGAGCCCACCAACACCTAGAGATGTCAGCACGAGCTCACCTTCACCTGGAGATGCCAACATCTCCTGGGATTCTGGAAGCAGCTTTGGAGGTGGATCCTGCGCAGGCGGCGGAGGTGCCGGAGGCAGCTTTTGAATCCCAGTTTCCTTACTGGGGTTAGGATATAATCCCTATATAATCCCCTATATAAGAATATAACTCCCATGTAATCCGGATATAATCCCTCTATAATGTCTTCCCTTATTCCCTGCTAACCCCAGTCGAAGCCCAGTCTCGATATCCGACCAAAAGCATCTCGAGCGCCAAAAGAGGCGTGGGCCAAGCTTCTGAGATGCTTCCCTTAAGGGATGTATTATACAGGGATTGTGTAGGGAATTACAGGGGGATTCTATGGGGGTCATAGGGGTCTATATAGGGATTACGTAGGGATTATTTGCGGATTATTTGGGGTTGTATAGGGATTACGTAGGGATTATCTGGTGTTTATTTGGGGTTGTATAGGGATTAATAGGGATTGAGTGAGGATTTTACCGCCACGCGGCTGTCGTACTCGAGTCCGCTTGAGAGAGAGAGAGAGAGAGAGTGAGGATTTTACAGGGATTTTATCGGAATTGTCTGGGGATCATATGAGGATATATAAGGATACATCATATAAGGGCATCATAGGAACTATGTAACAAAATCACCCACACCCCCTGATACTGCATATTCCTATTGTGGTAAACTGTTATATATTGGAGATACTTACAACAAGGGGGTGGGATGGCTCGGATTCATTTTTGGTCAGGTCGAGAAGCAAGAGCTCTTGACAGAGAAGGTGCAGTTGCTAGCTCGGGTCCGTGAGCAGGCCAAGGAGCACCTGCTGGAGAGTAGGGATCATGCAAGAATCTTGTCTACAACAGCCCAGTGCCAAGAGGTGTCCAGTCCATGCCTGTTGTGGCTCAATGTTGTCTGAGGAAAACAGAGGGTCGCAGAAGAAGCTAAGTCACTTGGAAGTCATAGATGTGCCTGCACTCCGGAGGCATTGTCAGCTCAGCCTAGCTCAGCCAGTTATATTTTTGAGGAAGGATCGGCACCGAGAAGACGTGCTCATAGAGGTGGCAGCAAGACTGGAGTCCAAAAAAAGGGAGAAGAAGGCAAGCCTGCTCTCACTGCTCAGCTCATGTGTCTCAGAAGCCTAAACTTAGCCATCTGGCTTTGAAGCAGGACGCAGAGCGCAAGTTGCGGAGGGAACTGCAAGAGAGCCTCGGCCAGCAGTTGAGAAGTGGAGCTGAATGATTTGGCGTGGGAAAAGTCTGCTGGCACTGTGCTGCCAAGGATTGCTACCAAGCAGCAGTTCCAGCTGAGCAGCCAAGATGCTCTGGAATCCAAGAAGAATGCCGTTCCATGGCCGCAGTGGCAGGCAGCTTATGCGGGGTTTTGTGGCCAGTGGTTGAAGCAGGCGCACGATCAGCTCAGGACCAAGTTGCTGGCCTGAACAGGGAAGTTCTCCGGCGGCAGGATCGACTGCTACTGGAGCAGCGCAAGCAAGACCACCTTAAGGCATGGTGGAAAGTTGCCCTGGCAGATTGTCATGCTTGGCTTTGGGGCTTTGCTGTTTGCCGTCTGGCGTAATCAAGGTTCTTATACGAGGTTTGACGAGATGCCGTGAGAGCACACGCGCAGTTATTTGTGTAAGAGCGAAGCAGTCCTGCCTTGTCAGTGTTTCTGCATCTGGGACCAGCGTTCCTCCAGGAACAGGATAGAGACCGCGGATTCAACAAGATAGGTCGTGTTATTGGCTTAAAATAAAACCCCAGATGCATTAAACGAGATCATGTGGCATCATGAGGCTTTCTCAAAATCAGACCGAAGATCAAATACAAGGCCAGCGCATAAGGACTAAACGACGCTCATATGTTGACGAAGGCCCGCGCGAAGGACCAGCTGAAGAAGAATGTGGAAGCTTGACAACTGTTCCGATAGCTTGTCCGGCAGATTCAGCGTGGGTCCCCTCCCAATCGACGTGATGTGCTCTACCTAGGAATCTGACCACAAACAGTATGCGGAAATGCAAGAAGCAGCAGATCGCAGAACCGAGAAAGCCAGACGCATGGACACGGCATTCAAGCTCCCCGGTTAAAGTTAGCTATTTGACGATGCACGTTTGAAGTTTGACAGTCTGCGGGGTGCGCGTGCTTGGGAGATAGGTCGCACTTGAACTGTGGGTTGTGGCCCTCAGGAACGAGGTTGCAGATGCATACCGTCATGCGCGAGATCTGCAGTGCGAGGCCAAGATCAAGGGAGCTGGTGCAACAATGCTGGCCAGACAAAATTGACAAAACATATTCATTGCGTTGAGCTGCTAAGGTACAGCCATGAAAGCAAACACCTCGAAATGTGCTCCGGCGACATTGGACTGAGGTTGAACCATACCTTCTGTTTTTTTTGCGCACGTCTTCGGCCATTTTTGGTGGGATTCTTTGAGCCTGTCCCTTTCACGAAGCAAAGCCCGAGACTTGAGTACCAACTCAAACTGTCAGTGAAGCAAGGTGCGGCCATTCAGCCAACGCGTACTGGAAGAGGTGTTCAAGCCTTCCAGCCTTGCATGTTTAACTTTGACAAAGGTGGCCAAGGCAGCTAAGTTGACAGAGCTAAGCGCTCACGCAGGTTGTACAGGCAACATGTGCTGCACAAATTCATTGTCCCAATTCACCACGCGGGCTTTTGGTCGCAGGTGGAAACTTAGGTCATCACACCTGTTGATGACATCCTTTGCATTCAAGGTCACTGTACGGGCATTGTCACGGTTGATGCTCTAGATGTCTCCCGTGTCCAGTCAAAGCATTCTGGGCGAAGAGACTATTGTCCCCAGGGCAACAGAGAGCAACGCATGCTTCGCATTGCGCAGCAGTCTGCGGGCCCTCCAAAGGTGTTGCCAGCTTGTTGTAGACAGGCTACCAGTTGCACCAGCTCCGAATATGCCAGCCATGGAAGAACAAAGTAGCCAGCCGGCACCCGTGTGTTGTTTTGCGAGACTGGGTCGGAGGTGCTTCTCCTCGTGCCATCTATCTTGAAGATATTGATGGCGCAGCGTAGATCGTAGAATCAGTCGCCAGACAGAGTGGCGTAGGCCTGGGGCAAAGCACCCATGTAGTTGCTTCAGAAATCGTGCGTGTCAAGCCTGACTTGAATCATGTGATGTGAAAAAATACTGCAGCCAGGCGTCGGCTGTAGCTTGCCATCCAAAAAGTGACGCCCTCAGTGTTGCACATCCATACTAGATTGTATTCTGGATTCTACTGTACCTCATGCTGCATCAATCCATGTGTTGCCAGAGTTGCATTCAGATGTTGGTTGCCGAGCAGCAGCACATCTGTCATGCATTGGCTGAGCGATACAAGGGCGCATCGTCAGCTTCTTCTTGATCCAAATTGGCTTGTGCTGGTGCCGGGCTCAGGCTGTTGCAGTGGCCCTGGTCAACGTTGACGCAACTCCTGTTAAGGCTGAAGTCGAGGGTGCTGGCTCAACTACGGCAGTGGTGTGCTTAGCTCCGTGCGCTCCGATGCCAAGAAGCTGCCTTCCAACGCCTGACGGGCACGCTTTCTGATCCAGTTGTATCTACAAACTCTTACTTCTTACTGTCATGCCTTTGAGCAACGTCGATTTGACTACAGTGGCCAGCAATGTCGCCAGCTGCAGCAGCATGGAAAGTGATGCGGTGCTGATAATTTGGGATTAGGCACAACTTTGAGCATGTTTGAGGTGGTGACGACAGTTTGGCCTATTTGGCAGGCAATGTGACATGTCTGTTGAAGTCCGGATGCTGACACCTGCCCAACATCTTTCTCAAGCTCTTCCAGCCCTCTTTGTTGCCAGCTTGAAAGCAGGTGCAGTCGCTGATTGACAGGAGTGACCCCAGAACTCTTCAGCCATTTGCCCAGATGTTAGTTCAAAATTTCAAAGCGGGGCTACGGAGAAATCCAAAATGGCCATTGGTGGCCATTTTGCCGTGTTTGTTCAGGATCGGCATGAATGCGCACAAGCCTGGCATGAGACCAGGGGAGGCCGTGGCGTGCGCCCGTCAATAAGCGATGACTGCTCGAGGATTTGGGGGATTGTCAAAATTATGGTCCCTTTTTGGGTCCCCTGAATTAGGCCCCGTATTAGGCCCCGCAGAATACATAATTTTGACAATCCCCCATTTCCCTAGAACTGGGAAGACCCTTTAGGGCTTGAATCAAGGTACAACCCGCCAATCAGCACCTATTTCACGCCAGGGACTACAAAGGGCAGCATTTATGTTGCACTTGCCGCTTTCGCAACAGCAGGCTGACTCTTAATTTCGATGACCTGAAAAAGTGCAATGAAGCTGCGGTGCATTCCTTGGACAGAACTTGTTGCGGCCAAGAAAAAATGCCGTGGGCACGCCAGCTTTTGAGGTCCACTTGCAATCACGGCGCCTGGGCGTTCGAAGTCAGATGCTGCAGAAGGCGGTAGTTTATTCTTCAGCTTGGGCAACCTTGGCATATTTGTTTGAATTCCAGATGTAACAGGCAGCCAAATTTGTCGACCAGTGCTACGTGGGGCACTGAAGCTGGGTGTGGCAGTGTCCTTCGCAGCGTACTTGCGTTAGCCAGGCATCTTGCGTGAGAGTTACCCGCAAGAGCCAGGGAGCAGAACTGAACATGGGATTGTCTAGTTTTCAAATATGTAGTACAAAGGCAGTAAGACTCATTCTCTTCTGCTGGTAGCTTGGTGGGAACGCGCCTAGGCCGGTCAAGCGGTCGACTCGGACCACGACGCCCCAGTTGCCATACCCTGAGGTTCATTTTGACAGCTGCCCCCTTGTCGGTTTCAAACCCCGGTCGCAGGTTTGCGGTTTATTCTGTTCCAGACCTCTGGATGCAAGACGTTCCAAGGCCCTGGAGTCAATCGCCACAAGCGTCTTCTGAAGCAGGCAGTTCTTTCATCGAATTCACGTCACTGTTGGCCAGCTTGCCTTGGATTTGCAGACACAGCTTTTTGCCCATTAAGTTTCATCACATCGCATCGATATTGAACAGCTGTTTCTGGCCAAGGACAAGTAGCCGTGTGTCCAAAAATGCAAATCAGCTCCCTTTCTGTGTGCACCTCTTGGACGGGAGAATGATGTCCAGCTTTTGCTTGCTGCACTTCTCAGCCTCAACCGAAAGGCAGTGAGTACAGGCTGACTTTCAATTCATCTGGGCCGTTGCAGCTAAGACCTGCGGGCGAAAACACAACAAGCTGAAGGACATTGAGAGATTGCTTGCAGTGTGCTTCTTCTGTTTATGACATGTGATAGACCATGGTTGGCTATGAGCTGATGAGCGTGCTTGTCGTTAACAGCCTAGCACACCACAACATGCTTCAAGCGCTTCTCCAGCCTATGTGATGTACCACGCAGTTTAGGGTTTAGGGTTTGGGGGTTTAGGATCCAGGCAGTAATGAGTCCCTCATGCAAAAAAAGGGGTTTAGGGTTTAGAGGTTTAGAGTGGTTGATGGGCTGGCCTTCTTTCCTGCTTCGTAGATACCACGGAACGACAAAGTATTAGGTGTGCGCATGAGACCCAACCCACATGCGTCAGCTCGATGCTGGCACCATCCATGCTGGAGATGGGTTGCAGACGTTTCAACCACATCCGAAGCATGTACCTGCCGAAGTTGCGAATCCTGACTGGATTGTCTCCTCCTTTCACCAGGGATATTAAAAGGCTTCAACTTTGCAGGCTTCCAGCTGGGTAAGCTTGCAGTTCACGGCCTCAGTTCGCTTCTACAAGCCATTCAATGATACTGGTTCGGTTCTGACAGGTTTTTGCAGGGACCTATGAGCAGCCTGGCATTATGTATGGACTTCGAACTCCACCGGACGTGTCCTCATTTCTGTGAACCGCAATTGTAGGCAGTGTCGTGCGGCGCAACAGCATGTGAATCTTATTCTGTCTTGGGCATACTTTCGGCATAGCTCATGCCTGTTGTGAGAATGACCGGAAAGGGTGTTGTCAACTGGGGGTTGGTGGCTTCGAGGATTCTATGGCCCGTAATCAAAAATGAGTTCTTGGCCCTAGTGGATGCCAATGCCTTCGTCGATCTTCGTCTTCGCATCAATGAACTCACACATTCTCTTTTCTCTTCGTGCTTGCTAGACACCAGGGGCTCGACGACCCAGATATCCGGTCCCTATGCGGCTAAGGAACCGAGTTGTGGGAGGTGTGGGGCCAGCTTTTCCAGCCTGCCTCTGAGCAGGCTGCTTTGACATCTTTTGGCATGCAAGTGGATGCTGCTTCGTGGCCCAGGCCGTCTACAGAGTGGGAGCAACAACAGAAGCCTTGTCAACACCCAGTCATACCCGGCCAGCTCTGGGTGCTCTGGCATCAACTGTTGATGTACTGGTATGGCTTAACTTGGCAGCGGGCAGCAGGCCTTGGTACCTGAACGTTCATTGAGACGAACTGAGGCAAGCCCGGACAAAGAGCCGAGGTGGCCATGTGGGAGGCCTTGGATCGTGCAGCCACTTGCTCGCAGCAAGATGCCCACCATGCTGCGTAGATCCCAGAGCTTGTGAGCTGTGCTATGGCCTAAACTCGAGGCGACCCGAGCCCTGGACGGCATGTACAACCAACAGCAGGGGCGCTGGCCGGTGGCAGCAGCTCGGCATGATTGGGCGAGAGGGGTTCTACACTGCTCCACGCAAAGCAAATATGGGACCGATCAGCAGGTGCTGTTTCCTTTGCAGCTCTATTGCAATGCCATGTGTCGTTGGTCTTCAAGTCCAATAGATTCCCTCGTACGTTTTTCTGAGCACTTGGGAGCAGGCTTTGGCTCTAACACATCCCGACCGCAATACGGCAGCAACCATCACACAGGCGGTTCTGCTTTAGGATGTTGCTGTCATTATTTGTGTCTCTTTGGGGGTGTCCCTGCAAGTTGCTATAAGTTGCGTACTGCTTGCCTCATGGACAGGTTGGAGAAAGTGCCAGGAGGCGACAGGCCGTGCTTCCGCCTCCGGATCCGAGCAAGATAGGCCCACTGCCCCCGCTCCTTGCCTCAAGATGGGCTATGTCTACGCTTCGCAGTCAGCTATCTCGATTGAAAGGCTGCCAACGTTTGGTGACGGTTGGGGCCACTCGCTGCCTCCGTTGCCTCCTCTCCAGTACCGCGCCTGCAATCTAGACGCTGGAGAGGCAGCCGGGCTGCAGCAGACGTGGGCACACTTGATGCTTTCCTGTGCGCTGAGGGGGCCAGCTCAGTTCACAGGCGTAACTTTGCCACTGTATGCCGGCAGCTATGGTGGGACTTTGCAGCCAGGCAGGACCCTGCTTTGCAGCTTTATGTTTCGCGGGCTGGCAGAACTGAAGTGAACTGGAGTAGCCATTTTTGTGCTTGCCCGAGGTTCAGGACTGAGTCACGGAACGCAGGTCAACGTTCCCACATATCCACCTTGGATGTCTGGCACGCCTCCTACCGACATCACGGAGCCATGGGTGCCAGGAGTCAGGGACTTAGCAGATGAGAGTTTTCTACTGTGGGCAACTTGCCTTGGCTGCTGGTGCTTACTGAGTTCCAACATGCTGCCGAACAAATGGAAGCAATTGGGGCTTGGCAATCAGCAGTGTCACCTCTGCTCACGCTCATGGCGTGTCCTTTCTGGCCTGGCAAGCGTCGACAGCTCACTGGATTCCTCTGAATTTGAAAAAGCAACTCTCTACCTGTTGTTTTTCCTTTAGATGGAGACCTTTGCCGAGAGGTACCTGACAAGACCGGAGCGATTTTTGCTTAACCCCCAAGAAGCCAGGCTCAAAGCAAGGATGGGCAACCAAACACTTCTCATCAGTCAACCTGCACACGGCTCTATCGACGTGTTTTTTGTCAGATGTTGCCGTAGCGGCTGTATTTTGCCTTCGCCAACGAATGCAGTGGCTGTGTCCCGCCATGTATGCTTTGATGCAAGCGGAGCCAGCCGCCTCCAAAGGGTGCTTCAGATGCATGATGACGCATCATGTCGACCTTGTCTGCGATTTTGGGAAAGAAAGGTCTGAGGCGGTGGAGCTTCCCGCGCTTCGTAGCAGGCTTCCAGCCGCCCCGGGGGTGCGACAGGAGCTCAACAGCAGCAGGAATGACTTCGCACGTGACCAGATTGCAAAGGATCACACGGAGGAGTTCCGCATTTGTCGAGGCCTGTATGCTGAGTGGCTTGCTTGCATTTTCATGACTTTTCGTGGGTTTGCTCCTTGTTTTGCTGTCTTATCACACTCTGTTGTGACCAAGGCAAAGGGCAAAGGCCATGGCTCCAAGACTGGAGCCTCCCCTGAAAACTGCGTTACATCGCACTGCCGTCCAGTCCGCCGTCCGTTGCAAGCAAACTGCGTTGGACAAATACGGTTCAGTGCCCCAGGAGTGGCTCCTGTCCATTATTTCCAGCGGGGACGTGCAGCAGTTAAAGCATTTTATGGAGGCCAGGCTGCAGTTGACTCAGCATACTCGCGGGCGGTTGGTCGCAATTGCCCTGAGGCTTTCTACCGGCAAGGCACAGATGCAGCACAGCGTGGTGAAACTTGCACTTACTGCAACGCTCGAGTGACCTCCAGCAAGAATTGGTTCCGAACCTCCAGACAGGCGGGTGCCGTGGAATCCACAACTTCTGCTTACAATTTCGATGTCGAAGTTAGTTTTTTCAGCACATACACATGTCATGTTCTTGCATCTATAGGTGGACGAGCAGCCTGCTGCCCGCTGCATGATATGTATGAAATGGTACTGTGAGCAGCAGCTGGGCAAAAACCAGCTTCTCTTGGACTTGAATGCAGTTACGCTATGCAACTCCGAGGCATTGCAAGCAGTTCGTGAATTTGGGATTTGCAACGCACACGGTCAAGCTTGAGTGCTGCGAGCAGTGCCATCGAGGTGTAGTTGCCTAGCTGCACAAACATTGGTGCAGACCTCCAGCATTCGGTCGGCCTGTGAAGTGCCAAGGAAGTCCTTCGATGGCGCCAGGAGAGCTCCGAACTGTGTCGCATCATGGCATTGCGGCCAGTGTAGCAGCCTTGCGCACGTCAGGATTCGGTGCCTGGCTGTCTGTCTGAGACGGAGCGTCAGCTAGCAAGCCTGCACCAGACGACCCTTGGTCCTGATTCTGAGTACAGGGCTGCAAACCAAGCCTGGATTGCAAATTCTTCTTCAAAGCCTGTTCGACTGCCAATCATTTCCTTGCACGGTAGCTGCGAGAGCGGCATACATACGTGTTGGATCGTGTAGGGCTAGGGTGTTAGCAGGACTTGAGGTGAAGACATTCAGTGCTCCAAAGACTCGGCAATGTCAGAGATAGTAATTAGTTTCCATTCTCTTTTCCAGAATCTTCATGTAACCCCAACATACGGGCAGGTTGTTCGAGCAGCTGACGAAGTTACCTGGCGCCCTGGCACAGTTGGAAGGATCCTCTCGCTTGCTGGAGGAGTTGCAGCCGCTCATCTGCATTGCGCGTGAATTCTTTCGGTGTCTAGGTTCACTCGACATGTCGGGCTGCTTTGCCTTCAGATCTTCAAGTAGGTTCAAGTATGTTTAAGCCGGCATTCTTGTTTTTCGAAGTTGGCTGCTGGCAACATGTTGGTTGAGAAGCCTGGCTCGAAGAAGCAGGATGCCAGAGGCTTCCAATGGGGTGTCGGTGGACGACATACAGGCGGCAGGTTTCTTTTAGCTGTGCGTTACGGCGTTCTCAAAGATCTTGATTCCAGCGTTACGTGACCCAAATTTCAGACCGGTGGGTTTTCACAAATCAGCAGTCTTGCTTGTTGCGTTTCAACTGGCAGGAGTGCATTTCTGCCATGAAGCGCAGCCGTTCCGGAGCCAGATTTGGTATTTTTTGCGTGGCTCTTTTTTTGCTCGCAAAGCCCTGGTTTCCTCCAAGCCCTGCCGAATCCCGTTTTTTCTCCTACAGCAATGCATCCAAGTCCCAGGCGTTGATGCAGAAACTGCGGAGGCAGCGATTGCCCGTTCGCTCGCTCTGCTGGAGGGACAATGCAGGGAGGCGGCCGCTCGATGTGAAGATAGAAGACTTTTTTGAGGTCCTTCTCCCGCAGCCTGTCCTTAGCCTCATGTATCTTAGGTAGATGCTGCCTGCAACCCGAAGAATGGGCAAATCCGTGATGGTCTCCTCCGGCTGCTTGCATGGCATAAACAAAAACAAGAGAGGTGTGCATAGGTTTGTTTGTTTCCATCCTCGCGAGGCATGGCAGACAGCAACTGGAGCGACTGAAGCCGCGCCTCAAGGCAGCTTGCACACGGGCGAGGCTTGGTTAAAATTCTTGAGACCTTTTGCCTTTGGCCTTTCTTGTGGCGGCTTCGTGCGTATGGTGCAAGATGAGGACAGTCACAGCGTCTAAAGCTGAGACTATTCTATCGGAATCGAGATGCCGAGTTTGAGCACTCGTCCTGAAGAAGCACTGTCCTGAAGATTACAATAGGATCAATAGGCATGGAGCAGAGCCTCTGTGAATGAATTTGGCGCTGGTCAAGCAATCTTTTAGATGGCTCCAGAGTCTCAAGTCTTCCAAGATGACAAAGGTCATGGATCAGTCTCACCTTTCCAACAGCACCGCAGAATACACTTAGCGGTCCGGCTCTTTACGCTCTTGCTTATGAGAGGCGCCCTCGATATGTGCCCTACGCTGTACAGACATGAGCTCCAAGAGTGTCATTTGGTCTGGTGCCTTCTACTACTGGTACAGTGGCAGTGGGAGAAAGGAAGGTGTGATGGCTTCGGCCTGCTGTGCAATGTGTGGATAGCAAGACAGCCAAAAGCTGGAGTAGCTGAATTGCACGGAGCTGACTGGCTTGTGGGTCTTGTTGTGATAAGATTTAGAATGCAACGGGCAAGGCAACGTGCGGGAAGATTGCCAGTAACGAGGTCCTCCCTTGGCTGCATTAGCTTTCTACCTAGACAACCCGAGAAGCATTTCTGCAAACACGGCCTACATGGCCGCGCAGCCCTGATGTAAAGGCCAGATAGTAAAAACGTTTCGCGCAATTTGGTCTACCTGGTGTTTATCCACTTCAGATCCTGGATTCAGGCCGTGTGCTATGCGCGTGCTGCAGCCGGAGCCTGTATTGAACAATGCCGCGTGCCCAAGCAATCACGAGATGCTGCTGGCGTCCGAAATTGGAAGCATGTGCCGATTGCGAATTCCTTATTCTGACAGCCGCTTGCGCTCGCAGCTCGGCGTAGAAGAGCGCTGTTTAGGTAGGATTTGGAGCTGCTGCATGCCGTTGACGTCTCGTTGAGAATAACTCGACTTGAGCCATGGCCACAGACAGGAGATTCGAGGCCAGTGTGCGGACCCTGTTGTTGTTTTGACAGAGCACGAGTCTGCCGAAGGTCAAAATGTCGGTGCCGGATGGCGCTGCTCATCCGAAAGAAAGGAGTTATTGGCTTGCACTTCTCGCAAACTCGGAGATACAGTAGCAGCTTGCGTGTTGTGAATCTTAGGCAACACCCGGCACATTGCTGGATGTGTTGTGAACCTAGTGAGACAAGCTTCACACTTCAGAAGCTTCTGCGGGAGTGCTGAGGCCTGTGAGGGGTGGTTCCGAGAAGGTTCGGATCCGGGTGCCCGAAGGCTGCGGAGGTGGAAGCGTCCTGGCTCTGGGCCCAGCATCGCATTTATGATCACGAAGTTGTGCCTGAGCTTCTGCTAGGTCCTGAGCCAGGCTGAGGGCAGCAGCGAGTGGGACCTGAAGGTAGAGGAGGCTTGCTGCATAGGATCTGCATGCTGCATACCCTTGCGCCGTCTAGCTGCCTGGGCTTTGCGTGACTTGATGCTGGTTGATGTTAAGGCCAAACCTCCTCTACAGGCCAGCATCAAGCCGCAGCCTGCTCTTTCGTTTAGCGGAACTTGAAGCTCTGCCGGTGAGGACGCGGGCGCCACGAGCGACGTAGCCAGGACATCCACTTTGACCAAGAAATATCATGTGTGGGCTTCGTACGATGGGATGCCGTGTGTGCAGGAGCTCGACAGGGGTGCAGCTCCCCCAGGAGGACTTGCATTTCCTTTGTTTGAACATGGGGTTCGTGCCATGCCACTCCAAACCAGGAGAGTCCCAAGCCAGAGTTGTCTGAGCAACCTGTGGCCTACACTGTGAGGCCAACACATTTCGCGTGACTCAAGCCTGGGTAAATCTGACCTCCTAGAATTGCAATGCTTTTGGTGCTTTGCAGGTTGGACACGACGGTAGGTGTCATAGATATCATTGTGCGGCCAGTGCTGGCCTTACAAGATTATTACAGCCACACACTGAGGCCTCCCCAGGAATTATTTTCGCATTCCACATGTGTCTGTTTGTCATTCAGTGTTTGTCATTTTGTTTTTATTCTTTTATTCACCAATTCCTGTTTGTCATTCTGGTTTGCGTGTTGCATTAACAGTCATAAGGCGCTTCTCTTCGTCTGCCATTCTACTTCTTATGGCTATTGATGCTGAGAAGATATTAGTGATTCGTGATTAATGAATAGTGACTGGTGATTAGCCTTGTGACTAGTGTTTGGGAAACACACAGGATGTGCCATGGGAAGCATAGCTTGCGTGCTGGGGTATGGAGGGACAAGGATAGGTCAGGGCTTAGGGCCAGGGGTGTTGCGTGTGTGGACAGATCAGAGCTCTCGACACATCAATTTGTGGGGTGTGTGGCACGGAGCTTGTGGAGTAGTTGCCCAGTGGTAGCGCAGGCATCATCATGACAATTTCTGAGTCCAGAAAGTTTGGATGTTCACCATTTCCAGAATCTATGGAGAATCTTCTGTGACATGGTGGATGAAATACAGGGTTGTGTCTGCTTGGCTAGGCACGCTGGGTAGGAGAGTGCCTGCCAGGGGCCTGGAGAAATTCCCTGAAGTGTCTAGGTCTAGGCCTAGGCCCTCCCAGAGCGAAACGACAAAGTCTGTCACTCCGCTTTCGACGTCTGGGGCGGAACGACAAAGTCTGTCATTCAGGCTTCCACGTGTTTTCGGGGACGCCAAATCTGTCGTTTCGGGGGCAGAGGGCGGAATGACAGATTTGGCGTTCCAAACACCAAATTTGGCGTTCCAAACGACAGATTTGGCGCTCCAAATGCCAAATCTGTCGTTTGAACGACAGATTTGGCGTTCCAAACGCCAAATCTGTCGTTTGGAACGCCAAATTTGGCATTTGGAACGCCAAATCTGTCATTCCAGGGGGGCCCTGCCAGGCAGGGGAGAATCTGGAAGGACAGATTTGGCGTTCCAAACGACAGATTTGGCATTTGGAGCGCCAAATCTGTCGTTTGGAACGCCAAATTTGGTGTTTGGAACGCCAACTCTGTCATTCCGCCCTCTGCCCCCGAAACGACAGATTTGGCGTCCCCGAAAACACGTGGAAGCCTGAATGACAGACTTTGTCGTTCCGTCCCAGACGTCGAAAGCGGAGTGACAGACCTTGTCGTTCCACACCCCAAGTCCTTTGGGCAGGGACACCAGCAGGCCTTGCTAGAGACCTGGGAGGGGCTGCTGGGGCCTTCTAGGATCCTGCCTGCGCCTCTTTGCTTGTTGGCACAGAAATATGAGTCAATTTGGTGACATCTGGAGCTGTTTTGATTGCATCTGGGTCTGAGTTTTTAATGAAAATCTGCAGTGCGCCCGCTCGCGAATCTGTTGGAGCGAGAGACCTGAACTCTGAGTGCAGCGACGTCCGCTGTCCGGAAACAATTCTTGCTGGCATGGGAGCTTTGTGTGCTCATGAGGCCTCCAGGGACATGCGTACTAATGATTACTAATGTCTGTAGAGTCTAGAGGATCCACTTTCAAGGGTAACATGTGCAGGTGTCAGGCAAGACCCGCATGCAGCAGATAGCAATCTTAGCAGCAGGTGGAGATGTTTCGCCCTTGGTAGCTTACCTTGTAGGCTACATGATTGAAGTTTAACATCAAAATGCAATGACAGAACGAAGCAAGGAATCCAGACGCTGAAGAAGCAAATGCTACCAGCAATGACATACCGAAAGAACTGGAAAAGCAAATGCTGAAAGCAATGACAAACTGAGATGACAAAACCAGCCCCTTGGAATGACAAAATAAATCTGTGAACATTACCAAGCCTGGCTGCTGAATCATCTTGTAATGCTGGCCTCAAACATCTTTCTGCTCCACAGCTGGACGTTGAGACGCATCAAGGACTGGGCCCCGCATGGTACACGCAGCTGCCTGGTGGCAAATCTGGACTGTTTTGATGCAGCCTGTACCAGGCGAAACTCTTTGTGGACAGGAAGTTCAGAAGCTTCCTTTCTCAAGCTGCTTCCAAGGATTCCTTGAGTTGGCGACATCGGGAGATCTTTGCAATTTGGCTTTCTATCGCGCGATCAAGGCTAGTCTGGGTTTGCAGCTGGGATGTCGGCTTCCTTTGAAAAGCACCGCTGTGCCAGGGTTGCATCGCCCAGTTTGGCCTGCCACCAAAGCGACCATGGCCACCGATACCAGATGACCCTCCAACAGGAAGAGTGAGCTGGGAGAAGCTGAAACAGACAGACATCTGCCGTTTGTGCAGGCGTGCCATTCTTGTTGGGTGCGGTGAGCTTTGCAGCGATAGGCCGGATCACAGACATTGGTAGCAAGAGGTCATCATCAAGCTTGTGTGAGAGGCCCAAACGCTCGAAAGTCCACGCTTTTTATCTGCACCGGCGACATGTCCCACTGCTTGGGCGACAAGTCTTGGGACCCCAATGCTTCACAAGTCACTGCAGTAAATCCTAAACCCTGAAGCCCGGTAGAGGGTCCCGGGGGTTGCTTGTGACTTCTCAATTGACTTTTCCTTTTTTGTCGTCGTGAAATACAGAACTGTCGTCCTTTTCGGACTTGTGATTCCTCGACACCTTACAGTAGCAGGCTTGTGCTCCTCGTAAAATGCATAGCTGCATAAGTTCATAACTGTCGTCGTTTTTGGATTTGTGATTAACCGTGAACAACTTGTGAACCTAACCCCAAGCCCCAAATGCCCTGACGCGAACCTAGGCCTAACCTTGCAACACCCGTAAGCTCAACACCTTCACCCTAAATCGTTGCAGTCTTGGCCCCTGAGCCCAAAAATCGCGAGCATTGAACATGAAAACATGCCAGCCCGGGGCCCAGTTTTCAGGGAAAATATTCATGTATTTATTTCCCGGAAAAACGTGCCCTACCTGCAACACCTATAAGCCCAAAACCTTCACCCTAAATCGTTGAAGTCTTGGAGCCCGAACCCCAAAACCGCGAACATTGACCCTGAAAACATGCCAGCCCAGGTGCCAGTTTTAAGGGAAAAGAATCATGTATTTATTTCCTGGAAAAACGGGCTCCACCTGAAAGCCGACAAACCTCATAAACTCAGGCCCCGAATGGTGGAAACCGAAGCCCTTGGCCTCGTCAGCCAGAATCCAATCCCTGAACCCAAGCCCAAAACCCTGAAACCTGACCCCGACTAAACCCTAAACTCCCCAAACCCTAAAGCCTGAACCCTAACCCCTTGACCCCAAACCTTAATCCCTGAACCCTAAACCCTAGAGACAAGTATGGTCGCAAGCTGCGTGTTGCGAGTTTTCTGGACAAGTATGGTCGCAAGCTGCGTGATCGGCTTTGTTCCGGACTTT